TCATCCTCTCTTCACCAACATTCCGTCTGGCCCTCTTTTCCAGGTGCCTCTCCTCTCTACCTCTCCCAGCTAAATGCAACTTATTCTTGAGTTTCCAAAATCTACTTGCGTATAACAAGTCATCCTCTCTCTCCACCTGCTCATTCTCCCCCATCCCCCGCCATGCTTCCGTGCTGCGTGCATACACCACAGGTAGTGCGCTATCACTCCCTTGCTGTCCACTGGGCCTCCCTTTCCAACGACTTAGAACCCATCGCCTGGACCACCAATGATCCTCTTTTCACCTCCTTTACTCTCTCCCCCTCCCTTCCGCTCTCCCATGCAGGTGGTGCGCTATCACTCCCTTGCTGTCCCTGGTCTACTCTTCCCACTGACTTAGAACCCATCGCCTGGACCACCAATGACCCTCTTTTCACCTTCTCACTCTCCCCCCCCCCCCCACCCCCATCCACCGTCATCTGCATGTGTGCTCTGCAGGTGGTGCGCTATCACTCCCTTGCTGTCGATGGGATTTCACTGCCCACCGACTTAGAACCCATCGCCTGGACCACCAATGACCCTCTCTCCACCCACATCGCCTCACCTGGTCCACCAGCAGCCACACCAAGTTCTGTTGGGGGCGCACAGGCAGCGAATGGGGCAATGATTGCAGGAGCAGAGGTGGTTGTGAACGGTGCTTGTAGGGGTACGGAGCCAGGAGGTGATGTGGGGGCAGGAGCGCCAAGTGGGAACGCTGTGGTTGTGAACGGGATGGTGGCACCACGTCAGTGTTATCAACAGGAGCAGCAGCATGAGCAGCAGCAGGAGCAGCAGTCGAATAGAGTGATTATGGGTCTGGCACACAAGAGACGGCCACACGTGGGGGTGCAGGTGGGTTGCTGCCTGGCAGTTATGGATGGATAATATTGTGAGTCGATTCACTTCACCCCCACATGCTTGTGGGTATTGTATTGCAAGTATCACGTCACGTTGCATGATGCATGCAACGCAACGCATTTGGGTGGGTTGGGGTCTCCGTTCCTCCGTCTCTTCCCTCATCCGCTTCTCCCCTCCTCCGTTTTCTGCCTTCTCCGTTTTCTGCCTTCTCCGTTTTCTGCCTCCTCTTTTTCTCGTCTCCACAGTTTCATCCCGAGAGCATCGGCACGTCATTTGGGCGGCAACTGCTGAAAAACTTTAAGGCTCTTGCAGTGAGGGCGATTAGGGAGAGGGGGAGGCAGAGCGAAGAGAGGAAGAGGGGAGAAGGGCGAGAGAGGAGCAAAGAATGGGAGAGGGTGAGGGAGACAGGAGTTGACGTGGGGGCCATGAGCCGAAATGGTTCTGCCAAGATAGCTGTAGGAGCAGCAGCAGCATCAGCAGCAGCGCCGCCAGCAGCAACAATGGAAGTAGCAGAAACATTAGAAATATGTGCAGTGGGGGCAGCAACAGGAGGTGGGGCGTTGCGTTCGCAGCTTGATTTGATGGCGCGGGTAAGTATCGCGACCAACTGCACCCTCTCTGTCATCCGCTCTCCTCCAACTTCTGAGTCGACTCAAAGCACACCTTGTGGGTCGACTCAAAAGCACACGCACACCTATCTAGTCAATGCAAAGCACACTTTTGAGTCTACTAGAAACGCAACTAGATTTGATGGCATGGGTAAGCATTGCGACAGCTGCAATCTCAGGTTCTATGCCATCTCTTACATGCTCTCCCTCCAAACCTGAGTGCACCCTGTCTGGCTACCCCGTTCTTGTCATCCACTCACTACGCGTATACTCTACACGAGAATCTCACTATCAAAGCCAAGAAAGGTAAAGCAAGGCTCTCTCTACTCTCTTTCTACCGAAACGGGTTCACTCCTTGCTGGTTTTAATCAAAACCTTGAGTCCATCTATTCTGGGATTGTGCTGTGCTTGCAATGAATGCATTTCCACTATTGTTGACCGTGAAGATTCAGTCTCAAAGCCAAGAGATTTCGACTCAGAGCTGTATGCTCTCTTTTCGCCGCACAAGTGCGATGCCCTTATTACTTTCCCATTACATGCATCTCATGCCATTACATGCATCTCATGCCATTACATGCATCTCATGCCATTACCATTGCCTTCCCTGCTCTCCACCCCCTATCTGCCGCCCAGCTGTGTGTGCCGGCCAGAGACGGCTCTATGGTGTGCGGCAGAGACATGGATCTGGGCGGCAGTGCCATGGATCTGGGCGGCAGAGACATGGATCTGGGCGGCAGAGACTTGGATCTGGGCGGCAGAGATTCGGGCGGTAATAATGTTGAGGCCACGAGGATGCGACACAAGAGAGGGAATGGTTGGTGGGCTGCATCTTCTATGGGGCTGCCACCATCGTTACTAAGCGGATTAATACAGTCATCACCATCAGCATCAGCAGCAACATCATCATCAGAATCAATCTCAGAATCAGCATCAGCAGCAACATCAGCATCATCAACAGTATTCTTCTCCCCTCCAAAACCCCTTGTTCTGAAAGTTACTCGGCTCGACGGATTTCTTCACAGATTGAGTGACGCACTAGCTGCAGCAGCAACACCATCAGCAGCATCATCACCATCACCGTCCGCATCACCATCAGCATCAGCATCAGCATCGTCACGAGCAGCAGCGGCTATCTTCACCCATCTATTCGCCGAACAAGGGGAAAGCTACTCCGACACTTTCTGGCTTGACAGCGCATCCACACACCAGGTGTGTTCCCCTCCACACACACACACACACACACACACACACACACACACACACACACACATCAGGCCCCTTTCATGCACCATCTGAAGGCCAGCTGGCTAGGATAGAACGGGTGTATTGTCGCCCAGCAAGGGGAGAGACAGCCACTTCGACACTTTCTGGCTTGACAGCGCATCCACACACCAGGCGTGTGCTTGTAACAATGCATTCGCACACGGTTCTCCTACATGAGAGCACGAGGGATTCCCTTCTGTTCCTAGCTCACATGTGAACTGCTGGTTACCACTGCCAGTTGACCCTCCGTTCTCCTTCTCTTGCCCTCTATAACTGCCCTCATCATACTGTCTCATCTTCTTTCCATCTGCTCCTTGCAGGGCTTGGCGCGCTTCTCCTACATGGGTGGCCGGGGGGGTCCCCTCTGGTCCAAACTCACGTACCAACTGGCTGCCGAACCTCCTTTGGTAGCCGAACCTCCGCTGGCAGCCGAACCTCGTTTGACAGCAGCACCTCAGTTGCCAGCCGAACGTCCTTTGCTGAGCCACACAGAGAATGGGAGCGGCAAAGGCAGTGCAAGCAACGGCACTAGTAACACTGAACCTGACAGCAGCAACAGCAACAGGGGGCACAGCCCTGCCAGTGGAAATAGTAGCAGCAGTAGGAGTAGCAGCAGTAGCAACAGAAGTGTTAACCCTGACATTAGCAGCAACGATAGCAGTAGAAGCAGCTGTCGCAGCGGCGCAAATACTAACGACAATCATAACAATGGCAGCAACGGTAGCAGCAGCAGCAGCAACAACAACGGTAGCAGCAGCAGCAGCAGCAACAGCAACAGCACCAACGGTAGCAGCAGCAGCAGCAACAGCAGCAGCAACAGCAGCAATCGTAGCAGCAGCAGCAGAAGCCAGCCTACATTAAACGGGGGTGTCACATTCGATAGAGTCACGGGCGGCACTCTCCAATTGGAGAGCAGTGAGGGCGATGTGACTATAGTGAAGGAAGGCACATGGGAGGGCGGCATATTCAGCTTTCTCGAAGAGGTGAGCATCTAGGGGCCCTTAACTGCAAGCATGGAGTTGTGTTGTGAAGCTGTGCTTGCAGCATTCAGGCGATGTGATGTGACTATGGTGAAGGAAGGGACGTGGGAGGGTGGCATTTTCAGCTTCCTCAAAGAGGTAAGCTTCCAGGGGCTCTTGGTTCATGGTGTTGGGAGGCTGTGCTTGCAGCATTCAGGCAATGTGATGTGACTATGGTGAAGGAAGGGACGTGGGAGGGAGGGTGTCGTCGTTAGATTCCTCGAAGAGGTGAGCTTCTAGGGGCTTCTAAGGCATTGAGTCGTGTCGGGTAATCATAAGGGTAAGTTAACAACCAGGCTTAGTGCCCAGGTATCGCTCATTTTCGATCCCTGCTACCACGTACCTGAGCACTAATCGAAAGGGGAATGAGGATGAGGAATGGGGAAGTGGTGTTCAAGTGGGGAAGAGGAATGGGGATGAGGAATGGGGAAGTGGTGTTCAGGCTACTACGTATGCACCCACCCATCCCCATTCCTCCCTTCAATCTCCCTCCTCCCCCCACCGACAGCACCTGCAGCAGCACCACAGGAGGCTGCTACTCTACTATCCCTTAATCTTGTCTCCCCCCTCCATCCTCTGTATGCCCTCGCTCGGACTTCCCACCCTTCCCCCCATCAACAGTACCTGCAGCAGCACCAGTGTGCAACCCACCTCACGAGCCCCTCTCTCTTATGATTCTCATTCTTATTCTCAGTTCCTGCTTCTTATCATTCCCTTATCTCCCCACACAACAAACCCCCATCAACAGCACCTGCAGCAGCACCAGTGCGCACCACACGAGGCGGCTGTTCTGCCTTTCGACTTCTGTGGCGGCTGGGTCGGCTATTTTGGGTAAGCCAGTGGATCAGCTATTTTGGGTAAGCCAGTGGATCAGCTATTTTGGGTAGCTCAGTGAGTCGGCTATTATGGTTGGGTACTTGGAATATGCCAAAGAATGGGCTCTCTCGAGTAAGCCAGTGGATAGGTCGGGGTCATGACTCGTGCTGCAGTGATGCTTGCTTCGATCGTGCCTTTTCAGGCAAGCCCGTGAGGTGAAGGTCAGATCCTTCCATCCATCCGGCACCTTGCTGTTTAGCCTTGCCCGCAGGTCGAGGTGACTTTTGAATCGACTCAAAACGAGGTGACTTGTGAGTCGACTCACAAGTCACCTCTTTTCAGGTAAGCCCGTGAGTTCAAGGTCAGTTCCTTCCATCCGACGCCTTGCTGTTTAGCCTCGCCTGCAGGTCGCTGCTGCAGTTCGTGTTTTGAGACGTCTCAGAACTCGAAAATCGAGACGTCTCAAAACTTGTTTAGCCTTTCCTGCAGGTCGCTGCTGCAGTGCAGGTCGTTGGCTTTTAAGTTGATGGTGTCATGCCTTGTTGTGCATGCTTGCGCGCATGCAGGTACGAGCTGAAGAGGGAGTGCGGTGCAGACCACAACCGCCACAGGTCGCCCTTCCCGGACGCGGCTCTTTTCTGTGTGGACCGATGGGTGGTGCTTGATCATGGGCGAGGGGACGTGTATGTGTGTGCTGTGGAGGAGGGTAGAAGGGGGGAAGAGGGTGGGGAAAAAGAGGAGGAGAGGGGGAAAGATGTGCTTAGAAGTGGGGAAAGAGAGGAGATAGGTGAGGGGAGAGGAGAGGGTAGGAACGAGAGCAGGAGTTGCAGCGGCGGTGGTACAAGTGCCGGTGCGTATGCCGCTCATGTGCTTCGGTGCGGTGCAGATAGGGGAGAATGGGGAGGGGCTGGAGGAGGGGAGGGTGAGAGAGGAGGTGGGGAGACAGCAGGGGGCAGCAGCAGGGATGAAGCAGAGGGGGGGAGTGGAAAGGAAACGGATGGGTGCAGATGGGTGGCAGAGGCGAGTGAGAAGCTGATGGCTTTGGTGGAGAGAGGGGTTTCTGAGGCGAGTGGGGCAGAGGTAGAGGCTGCCACAGAGGCAGTGCATTTGAGAGAAGCTGTAGAAGGGGGATTTGCAGTACAGTCAGCTGGAGGGAATTCGGCAAGAGCAGATGCTGAGGGCCTCACAGTTCTGTCAGAGCCCCTGGTGCTGGAGAGGTGTAGAGAGCGGTACAAGGCTGATGTAGCGCGGTGCCTGGGGGAGATTGCCAAGGGAGAGAGCTATGAGCTGTGCCTCACCACCCGCCTTGAGAGTGAATCTCAGCCGTCACATCCGCTCGGGGCGTATTTACGGCTGAGGGAGAGGAACCCTGCTCCGTTTGCTGCTTGGATGTGCATGGGTGAGATAAGTCCATACTCCATGAGTGAGGTGGGGGAGCCAAAATTGAGTGACGGAACAGTGCAGTGGGGGAAAGAGGAGGACGAGGGGGGGGGAGTGGGGAAAGAGCCAAAGTTTGTGGGGGAAGAAGAGGAGAACCAGCAGCCGCGGCACGACCACCAACACCACCGCCGCCGCCGCCACCACCAAAACCACTCTGTGCTCCGCTCCCCTTTTGCCCTCTGCTGCTCCTCTCCTGAGCGGTTCCTGCGGGGCGACAGGCGCGGCATGCTGTGGGCGAAGCCCATCAAGGGCACTGTGAGGCGGGGGGCAACGGAGGAGGAGGATGAGTGGCTGAAGAGAGAGCTGATGTGCAGGTGAGAAAGAGAAGAGGTAGAGGAGGGAGGGGTTATGGTGACAGGTAGGCACAGCATGCAGTGGGCGAAACCCATTAAGGGCACTGTGAGGTGTGGGGCGACAGCGGAGGATGAGCGGCTGAAGGAGAGCTCTTTCTCAGGTGAGTGTTTAAGAGGTAGAGGAGGGAGGAATCGAGTGCTTAAGAGGTAGAGGAGGGAGGAATCGAGTGCATGTACGTAGAATAGCCATGCTGTGGGCGAAGCCCATCAAGAACACCATGGGGCATGGGGCGACGGAGGAGGAGGAGGAGGAGGAGGAGGAGGAGGAGGAGGAGGAGGAGGAGGAGGAGGAGGAGGAGGAGGAGGAGGAGGAGGAGGAGGAGGAGGAGGAGGAGGAGGAGGAGGAGGAGGAGGAGGAGGAGGAGGAGGAGGAGGAGGAGGAGGAGGAGGAGGAGGAGGAGGAGGAGGAGGAGGAGGAGGAGGAGGAGGAGGAGGAGGAGGAGGAGGAGGAGGAGGAGGAGGAGGAGGAGGAGGAGGAGGAGGAGGAGGAGGAGGAGGAGGAGGAGGAGGAGGAGGAGCAGCGGCTCAAGGGAGAGCAACTGAGTAACACCTGGAGATCATTTCCAATGAAGTGGCTTGAAATTTGTCCTTTCTCTTGTTTGCCATGCTCACACCTTTCGTCCAACTTTGTTTTCTCTGATCCTTCCAATTCCTCCCAACCCATCCCAACCACTCCTTTTCTGTCAGTGACAAGGACCGGGCTGAGAACCTCATGATCGTTGATCTTCTCCGGAACGATCTCGGGCGAGTCTCAACCGTCGGATCGGTGCACGTCCCGTCTCTCATGGCCGTTGAATCCTACGCCACTGTTCACCAGCTCGTGAGCACTGTAGCAGCGCAACGCCGCCCGGACCTCTCCCCACTGGCCTGCATCCGGGCGGCGTTTCCGGGCGGCTCGATGACCGGGGCACCAAAGATAAGATCTATGGAGATTCTGGATGAGATTGAAGGGTCGGCGAGGGGACCTTATTCGGGAGCCTTGGGGTTCGTTTCATTTTCGGGCACCTTTGATTTGAATATTGTGATTCGAACGGCTGTGATGGGTGGAGAGCTGGGGGTGGTGTTGGAGAGGGAGGCACGGGCAGGGGAGGATGGGGAGGCAGAGGAGGGAGGAGTGAAGGCCTGGGAAGGGGACGGAGGAGGAGCGAGTGGAGAAGAGGAATGGATAGAGGGTAAGGGGGAGAATGGGGCAAGAAGGGCTGCTGTGGATTGGAAGAGGGCCAGACGAAAGGGCAGGACGATGATTGGAGCAGGAGGGGCGGTGGTGATGTTATCGCAACCAGAGAGTGAGTTTGAAGAGATGGTGCTTAAAGCTAGGTCTCTGGTGAGAGTGCTGCGACCAGATGGAGCTGATGATCTGAACGGGGTGTGATTGGCCAATGTGATCGGGCGATGAGGACGTACGGTATCTGCTTCCTATCTTCACTGGGGTGCGAGACACTGCTTGCCAACACTCATTGGGTGGAGATGTGGAGATTATTTTTCTGGGAGTCTAGGCACTTCACGGTTCATTGTGGCCAAACATGATCCTGACTTCATGGCCACCTTCAAATCTGTATGTTATTATTTTAGGAGCAGAGAATCTGGAAGATAGTTACAGTCTCGCTGTTGCTATAACGCGAATATTGCTTGCAAGCAGCATATTTCATCCACCTCAGCATCCTCCGCAGACACGTGTAATCTCCTCGAATCTGGCGAGAATTCTGACGAAAGATCACTGGAAGCAGTCCCGTTCACAAATACGGTAACCATGGAAGATTTGCAATGCAATCCCAAATGCGCAGTCAGCTTCTCTCTTGACGGTACATCTTTTCGGAGGTCGCGTCCAAACGACTTGCCGAACTGCCTTGGGACCTACCGCGCTTGTTGGCGAACGGATCGTTCATTTCGTTCACAGTCGTGATCGTTCGTAAATCAGAGTGTACGACGAGCTTGAGCAGGCGTTGCTAATATATAAAAGCTTCGCGCAAGGGAAACTGACCGTCTCACAGGCCTAAAATCTCGTACAAAGAACACGCCTTCAGAAGCAAGACTTGCCCAGTCACAGCAGCATCCATGCTTGCGTTCGTGACAACAGCGAAGTCACAGAACAGCTAGACACAGGTTTCACGACTGTGCCTTAGGATGCAGTGCATGTGACCACACATGGCAGCATCCCTCGTATCGCATGCTCTTTCTCGTTAAAACAATATTTCTCGAAACTTCCGAGATCGAGCTTGGCTGATACTTTTCTTCAACATCTCTTCATTTCGATTTAGGTTCTGCTCCTTGGTCATTCTATGGCTGCCTGCTTTCGCCTAGTTCCGACTGCTACTTGCCGCTTGGTACGCGAACTTACTGACAATCTCACGAACGTTCATTATTAATTAATATTATTTCCAGCTATTGAAGCTCAGCCTCACTGTGCTGGTTACCTCCTCGTCAATCCAACGTGGCTTATCGTGCGATCACCGCACGATTCGTTGAAAGAATCGCACGGTAACCACGAATTCATCGCACGATTTCGTCCCGTTGCGTGCAGGATCTACAGAATCGTGCCGGAACCACCCTGTGGAGCGGCGTCTCATCTGCGTCATCCACTCCGAAAGCACTCAGGTCCGTGATCGGAACGTGCGTGAACTAAGGGATTCTTTGGGTCCTTTGGAAATGTGGAATCTGACCAGAAGTCACCTCGTCTTGAAAGAACTCAGGTCCGTGATTGGAACGCGCCTGAACCAAGGGAGCCTTGTTAGTTAGTAGCTCGTGGAGTTGACTCGGATGTCGCCTGTAAAGAGTGAATGCTTTCCGTCTATTAGCTTCTGCCGCTGGACCCTGTAGTTGTTCCACCCCTTTTCTCAGCCGTTGCTGCTCCCTCACTCCCTTGACGGCGTACCGTTTAGCTATCCGTTTCTCTCTGTTGCTCGCTGCACCTTGTGCAACTGTAGCAGCTCCACTCAGTTCCTGGACTCCTCTCTCCTCCTGCACTCCCTTGGCGTCGCACGTTGAGACGTTTCAGTCGCTTATTCCTTGTGTTTGTTGTCTGCTGCATCTTGTGCAACTGCAGATCAGCCCACTTCCTCAGCTCCTCACTGCTTCTGCACTCGCTCGGCGGCGAAGGCGCGTGGTCCAGACAAGCAAGCAACGCGCGCCGTCGCTCCTGCAGCACGATCGTCCACGCCATGGCTGCAGGTACTGCGTGTGGTGCTGAAGTGATGGGTGGGGTGTGGTCCAAGCAAGCAAGCAGCGCGAGCCGTGCGCAGCGCCGCTCCTGCAGCACGATCATCCACGCCATGGCTGCAGGTACTGCGTGTGGCGCTGCAGCTTCATCCACGCCAGCAGATATGCACGGTGCTGACGTGATGGGTGGGGTGTGGTGTGGTCATGGCAATTTAGTAGCGCGTGCCATGCCGTGCCCATCGCTGCACCTGCAGCACGTTCGTCCACGTCATGGCTGCAGGTACTGCGTGGGGTGCTGAAGTGATGGGTGGGGTGTGGTCATGACCTGCACTCATACAGTCACACTTATACAGTCACACTCATACAGTCACACTCATACATAGTCGCACTCATACACAGTCGCACTCATACATAGTCACACTCATACACAGTCACACTCATACACAGTCACACTCATGCACAGTCACACTCATGCACAGTCACACTCATACAGTCACACTCATACACAGTCACACTCATACGCAGTCAGACTCATACGCAGTCACACTCATACACAGTCACACTCATACGCAGTCACACTCATACACAGTCACACTCATACGCAGTCACACTCATATACAGTCACACTCATACACAGTCGCACTCATTTTCACTCGCTCGCACACATAGACACTGGCTATCCCAGTGTGATTCGTCTCTGTCTCTGCCTCCCTTGAAGGAGTGCTGACGGAGCTCTGCCTCGTTGCACACTCATGCACAGTCACACTCATACATAGTCACTCTTATTCACACCCACGGTTGCACTTGGTCACACTCACATTCATGTAAACTTACACTCAGTCATACACACGGTCTTACTCAACTATCACACTCACACTCCCAGTTTCGTTCCTCCTCTGTTTCTGTCGCTACTGTGTTTCCTTCCAGCTGTGCTGGTTGAGAACAGCTGCGTGGTCCCGCTCGCTCAGGCATTCTCACTCCCGCTTGTGCTCGCACTCACACCAACAAACTCACCTTTACTCTCACACACACTCACATTGGCCCTCACCCGGACACTCAGCCTCAAATGCTACTTCTTTTGTAATGCCTCTCTCTGCTGCTACACCCCGTCGCAACAGCTGTGCTGCCTGAGAACAGCCCCGTGGTCTCCCGTGCCTGGCTTTCACACACACACACACATCGGCTATCAGCCTCGCACTCATCCTCGCAGTGCTGCTTCTACTGTGATGCCTCTCTCTGTCGCTCCCCCTTTCCCAACAGCAGTGCTGCCATATAGCAGCCTCGTGGTCTCCCCTGCGTGGCTGTCACACGCGCTCACAGTGGCACTCACCCCCTTGCACTGATCCTCACAGTGCTGCTTCCGTTGGGATGCCTCTCTCTGTTTGCCACCCCCCTTTTTCCAATATCTGTGCTGCCAGAAAACAGCCGCGTGGTCTCTCCTGCCTGGCTGTCACACGCACTCACATTGGCTCTCACCCTCGCACTCATCCTCCCAGTGTTGTTTCCACTGTGATGCCTCTCTCTGTCGCTCCCCCTTCCCAACAGCAGTGCTGCCAGAGAACAGCCCCGTGGTCTCCCCTGCCTGGCTGCATGACAACCTCTCCAAAGTCAAGGTCTGTCTAGTGGGTGGTGTGGTAACATCACGAGGTGGTGGGTGGTGTGGTAGCATCACGAGGTGGCAGGTGGTGTGGTAACATTACAAGGTGGTGGATGGTGGTGTGGCATCACGAGGTGGCAGGTGGTGGTGTGGCATCACGAGGTGGTGTGCGGCGTGGTAACATCACAAGTTGGTGTTGGTGCAGCTGTATCACGAGAAGGTGTGTGGAGTGGCAGGATTACGAGAAGGTCGGTGGAATGTTATGATTACAAAAACATTGGTGGTGTGGCAGGATATGAGGACCCACCTTCGTCTTTATCTTTTCATGATCTTGCCACCCACATCACCAATCGTCTTGTAATCCTGCTACTCCACCCACTTTCTCGTAATCCTGTCACACCACTCACCTTCTCGTGATCCCAGCACACCATGCACCACCCCGGGATGTTACCACACCACCCACCTGCTTTCTCATCTACCGTTCTGCGGATTCCCTTATCACCGCTGCACCTGTGCAATATACATTCTTTGATGTGATGTAGTGAAGTGGCGCACAATGGTTCGCGTCGTGTGCTGCACATGCACGCGTGCGTGCTGTGATGTCCCCCTCCCTTTCCCCCTTCCCAACCAACCCCTCGAATGGCCAACAGCTGCTAGTCTCCTCGTGGTGCATGCCTGCAAAAAAATGCCCTTCAAACGCTCTTCCCCCACTGCTCAAAGCACCACTTCACATGCTGTCCCCTCCTCCTTTTCAACCCCCAACCCCAACAGGTGCTCGACGCCTCGTGGTACATGCCTGCAAGGAAATGCCGCCTCCTTCAATGCTCCATCCCCACGTCTCAACCCTCCCCTCCTCTTTACCCACCCCACGCCCTCTTCCCCACTCTTAACCCCAGCAGGTGCTCGACTCCTTGTAGTACTTACCTGCTGAGAAGCGCCTTAGCCTACCTGAAAATGCTGTTTCCCCCGTCAAAGCTCAATGCCCCACTCCTCGCCCAGTTTTCCCTCTGATCGCGCAAACTACACAGGTCCTGGACGCCTCGTGGTACATGCCTGCGGAGAAACGCCTCTCGTTTCACACCTCAGTGCTCAACGCCCCACTTCACATCCTTCCCCCAACCCCACTTCCCCCTTTAACCCCCTCACCATCAGGTCCTGGACGCCTCGTGGTACATGCCTGCAGAGAAACGCCAGCCGTTTGAGGAGTTTCAGGTGAGGAGTGTCGCTGGTTGGTTGGTTCTGTTCTGTGTGTCACAAAAAGCATCATGAGAAGTATCTGGTCTTGCTGTGCTAATACGTCTATATCTGGTGAGGAGTTTCGAGTGTGGACATGTGAGTAACGCTCTGGATGCTGGGCTGGGAAGAGGAAGAAAGAGGGTGTGGTAGTTGGATGGACAGGGAGAACGTGTTTATGGTTCTGGATAATCAATACGGTTGAGTTTCAGGAGTTTGAGTAGACGGCCAGACAGACAGACAGACAGACCGACGGACGGACGGACGGACGGACGGACGGACGGACGGACGGACGGACAGACATATGTCACTCTCTTGCTGCCCTGCTATCTGTTTTTTAATGCCAAAATATTAGATTGAAATGTTCCCCGTGGCGTCCTCTTTTCGTCTCCCTCCCTCTCTCGAGAGCGCAGCATGGGAGGATCCCAGGAGCCATCCTCTTTTATGTTGATGCCATTGCTGAGACGTCTCAAGAAACATCCTCTCTCCTTCTCCCTCCCTGTCTCACGTGCACACTGCGCAGCATGGGAGGATCCCAGGAGCAATCTTCTTTGATATTGACGCCATTGCTGACCCCACCACAGATGTAAGTGCGTCACTTAGTTAAAAAATAAAAACTTAATGTTTGAAGTGCGTCCGGCATTCAGATAAAATCCTATCGTACCACCGCCAGCCCTACACGAATTTGCCTTATTTCAAGTCATTCCCCTTGTCCCCGTCCGTGTCGTCCACATATTCTATATTGTGTGACAGCTTCCCCACATGCTGCCGACAGAGGCCGCCTTTTCTGCAGCTGCGTCAGCTTTGGGTTTGTCATCTAGTGACAGCATAGTGGTGTACGATGGCAAGGGACTCTTCAGCGCCGCCAGAGCGTGGTGGTGAGTGGTTCAAAGCGGTGACAAGTGGTTGTGTTTAATTTTGGTGGTGCTTCTACTGTGTGTGAGCTGGTCGAAACTGGGTAGGTGTGACATCGCAATTTCTTAGCAATCCTCCCACTTCAACTTTTCCCTGCTTCCCCTGCTGGTTCCCAACGCACACAGATTGTTCCGTGCATTCGGACATCCATACGTGGCAGTGATGACACCTCGCCTTTGCTCCATCCCCGTCCCGGGCCCTTCCCTTCCCCTCTCCGGCTCCTCCCTTTCCGCTTCCCAACACTCACAGGATGTTCCGTGCATTCGGCCAGCCACAAGTGGCAGTGCTTGATGGCGAGAATGACAGAAAGCTCACATCTGCCGCTGCTTCTTCTTTCCCCGCCCCCGTCCCTTCCCTTCTTCCTCCCCTTCCTCCTCTTCCTTCTCTTCCATTGTTTCAACGCACACAGGATGTTCCGTGCATTCGGACAGCCACACGTGGCAGTGCTGGACGGCGGGCTGCCAGCCTGGCGGGCGGCAGGCTACCCAGTGGAGGCAGAGCCGTCAGACAAGGCGACCGGGCGGCACAAGGCGGCTGCTACTGCCATCAAGGACAGTTACTCTACTAAGGTGTGTATCGGGTTGGGCGGCTGCGAGGTTGTTTGGGCGGCAGGCAGGCCCCACCCGGTGGGCACACAGCCGATCGATAGGACTGCTGGGCGGCATAAAGCGGCTGGGTGTGCAATCAAAGATGCCCTGGGTGCTCCCTTTTTCTCTTTTCGTTTTCCCTCTTCGCTTAGTTGTCATTCGTCTCTCTTTCCGCATTGATGAGCCTTTATGCATCAGCTCTCCTCTGTGACCATCTGATGAGCCTTTATGCATCAGCTCTCCTCTGTGACCATCTGATGAGCCTTTATGCATCAGCTCTCCTCTGTGACCATCTGATGAGCCTTTATGCATCAGCTCTCCTCTGTGACCATCTGATGAGCCTTTATGCATCAGCTCTCCTCTGTGACCATCTGATGAGCCTTTATGCATCAGCTCTCCTCTGTGACCATCTGATGAGCCTTTATGCATCAGCTCTCCTCTGTGACCATCTGATGAGCCTTTATGCATCAGCTCTCCTCTGTGACCATCTGATGAGCCTTTATGCATCAGCTCTCCTCTGTGACCATCTGATGAGCCTTTATGCATCAGCTCTCCTCTGTGACCATCTGATGAGCCTTTATGCATCAGCTCTCCTCTGTGACCATCTGATGAGCCTTTATGCATCAGCTCTCCTCTGTGACCATCTGATGAGCCTTTATGCATCAGCTCTCCTCTGTGACCATCTGATGAGCCTTTATGCATCAGCTCTCCTCTGTGACCATCTGATGAGCCTTTATGCATCAGCTCTCCTCTGTGACCATCTGATGAGCCTTTATGCATCAGCTCTCCTCTGTGACCATCTGATGAGCCTTTATGCATCAGCTCTCCTCTGTGACCATCTGATGAGCCTTTATGCATCAGCTCTCCTCTGTGACCATCTGATGAGCCTTTATGCATCAGCTCTCCTCTGTGACCATCTGATGAGCCTTTATGCATCAGCTCTCCTCTGTGACCATCTGATGAGCCTTTATGCATCAGCTCTCCTCTGTGACCATCTGATGAGCCTTTATGCATCAGCTCTCCTCTGTGACCATCTGATGAGCCTTTATGCATCAGCTCTCCTCTGTGACCATCTGATGAGCCTTTATGCATCAGCTCTCCTCTGTGACCATCTGATGAGCCTTTATGCATCAGCTCTCCTCTGTGACCATCTGATGAGCCTTTATGCATCAGCTCTCCTCTGTGACCATCTGATGAGCCTTTATGCATCAGCTCTCCTCTGTGACCATCTGATGAGCCTTTATGCATCAGCTCTCCTCTGTGACCATCTGATGAGCCTTTATGCATCAGCTCTCCTCTGTGACCATCTGATGAGCCTTTATGCATCAGCTCTCCTCTGTGACCATCTGATGAGCCTTTATGCATCAGCTCTCCTCTGTGACCATCTGATGAGCCTTTATGCATCAGCTCTCCTCTGTGACCATCTGATGAGCCTTTATGCATCAGCTCTCCTCTGTGACCATCTGATGAGCCTTTATGCATCAGCTCTCCTCTGTGACCATCTGATGAGCCTTTATGCATCAGCTCTCCTCTGTGACCATCTGATGAGCCTTTATGCATCAGCTCTCCTCTGTGACCATCTGATGAGCCTTTATGCATCAGCTCTCCTCTGTGACCATCTGATGAGCCTTTATGCATCAGCTCTCCTCTGTGACCATCTGATGAGCCTTTATGCATCAGCTCTCCTCTGTGACCATCTGATGAGCCTTTATGCATCAGCTCTCCTCTGTGACCATCTGATGAGCCTTTATGCATCAGCTCTCCTCTGTGACCATCTGATGAGCCTTTATGCATCAGCTCTCCTCTGTGACCATCTGAGCTGAGGCATTTCAGAAACCCCTTTGAAGCACTGACGTCCATTTCTTGCTTCTGCGCCGCCCTGCCTTTTGAGGCGCATCAAAACCCCTTTGAAGCACTGACATCCATTTCTTGCTTCTGCACCGCCCTGCCTGCACTGATGTCCCTTTCTCTCTGCCTCTGTGTCTCCACCGCTCTCCAACCATCCAGGCCGCATCCAACCGCCTGCTCACTTTCAACGCCAAGCTGCAGCCCAACCTCATCCTGTCCGTTGATCAGGTGTGTGTCCCAGATAAGATTGTAATTTCCCCAGATAAGGCCTGCTCAGCTAAGGCCTGCTCAGCTAAGGCCTGTTCAGATAAGGCCTGCTCAGATAAGGCCTGCTCAGATAAGGCCTGCTCAGATAAGGCCTGCTCAGATAAGGCCTGCTCAGCTAAGGCCTGCTCAGATAAGGCCTGCTCAGATAAGGCCTGCTCAGATAAGGCCTGCTCAGATAAGGCCTGCTCAGCTAAGGCCTGCTCAGCTAAGGCCTGCTCAGATAAGGCCTGCTCAGATAAGGCCTGCTCAGATAAGGCCTGCTCAGATAAGGCCTGCTCAGATAAGGCCTGCTCAGCTAAGGCCTGCTCAGATAAGGCCTGCTCAGATAAGGCCTGCTCAGATAAGGCCTGCTCAGATAAGGCCTGCTCAGATAAGGCCTGCTCAGATAAGGCCTGCTCAGATAAGGCCTGCTCAGATAAGGCCTGCTCAGATAAGGCCTGCTCAGATAAGGCCTGCTCAGATAAGGCCTGCTCAGATAAGGCCTGCTCAGATAAGGCCTGCTCAGATAAGGCCTGCTCAGATAAGGCCTGCTCAGCTAAGGCCTGCTCAGCTAAGGCCTGCTCAGATAAGGCCTGCTCAGATAAGGCCTGCTCAGATAAGGCCTGCTCAGCTAAGGCCTGCTCAGCTAAGGCCTGCTCAGATAAGGCCTGCTCAGATAAGGCCTGCTCAGATAAGGCCTGCTCAGATAAGGCCTGCTCAGATAAGCCTGCTCAGATAAGGCCTGCTCAGATAAGGCCTGCTCAGATAAGGCCTGCTCAGATAAGGCCTGCTCAGATAAGGCCTGCTCAGATAAGGCCTGCTCAAATAAGGCCTGCTCAGATAAGGCCTGCTCAGATAAGGCCTGCTCAGATAAGGCCTGCTCAGATAAGGCCTGCTCAGATAAGGCCTGCTCAGCTAAGGCCTGCTCAGATAAGGCCTGCTCAGATAAGGCCTGCTCAGATAAGGCCTGCTCAGATAAGGCCTGCTCAGATAAGGCCTGCTCAGATAAGGCCTGCTCAGCTAAGGCCTGCTCAGATAAGGCCTGCTCAGATAAGGCCTGCTCAGATAAGGCCTGCTCAGATAAGGCCTGCTCAGATAAGGCCTGCTCAGATAAGGCCTGCACTAAGCTTCAAGCCAGGGGATCCTTTAAAGTTTTCTGCTTCCGCTGGCCTTTCATGCGCTTCTGCTGCCTGACTCTGGTAACGTTCTTCTTAACCTTTGCATGTCTTCAGGTGAAGGCTAATATCGAGAATAAGGTGTATCAACTCAGCGATGCCCGTTCTGCTGGCAGGTGTGTTGTGGTGGGGTGAGGTTATTTGTGATGTGGTGGAATGGGGTGGGGTGGGTTGGGTGGGGGTGGGGTGGGGTGGGGTGGGGTGCAAGCATCATGCAATTCGGTGGGTGGAAGCTCGGTGGGAATGCTTGGCAGCTGATGGCATGGCAGCATGGTGGCATGGTGACAACTTTTTCTGTGCCTAGTATCATGTGCAAGTATGTCTTCTCTCGCGTGCATGTGCATGCATATCTATTGCTATGCATGCATGCGTGACTCATGTTATGCATGCCTTTCCTTGCGCATGTGTGCCTGCATGTCTGCTCTTTTGCATGTGTGCATGCATGTCTGCTCTTTTGCATGCGTGCAAGCAGGTTCAAGGGCGTAGACCCTGAGCCAAGGGCAGGAGTGCGAGGAGGAAGCATCCCAGGAAGCTTCAACGTGCCATTTCCCGAGGTAGATTTCAGCCAATTGCGAGTCAGCATTCCCTTGAACGCTTCTAGCATCGCAGGAGTGGTTCTTTTAGGTGAGTGTTTAGGCTCGTCAAAGTGACTTTTGAGTTGACTCAAAACTCACCTCGTTCTTTTACGTGAGTGTTTAGGCTCCTCAATTCTCACCTCAATTCTCATTGAACACACTTCTAGCATCGCGGGAATCGTTCTTTTAAGGATTCTCTCAATATAAGCGTTCATGCAACTTCCTTGTAGAGAATCAATTTAACTGTTGACCCCACAGAGACAGTTACAATTTAACTCAGATCTCACCCAAGCCTTGCAATGGCTAGCTGAGTGCTAACTTCTCTTGCCCTCCTTTCTTCCCCCCCCCCACTGCCCATTGCCCACTGCCCATTGCCCACTGCCCATTGCCCACTGCCCATTGCCCACTGCCCGCCAGGTCCTGACCCCACAGGGACAGCTAAAGCGTGCCTCAGACCTCACCCAAGCCTTCAAGAGTGCAGGCAAGTCAGACGTGCCTGGTTGGTTGTGGGGAAGGGGGAGGAGAAGCGGGATGGTGCTTTTTGAGTCGACTTAAAAGTCGCTTTTTGAGTTAACTCTAAAGTCACCTCGTTGGTTGTGGAGAAGGAAGAGGGGAAGCAGGATGGTGCTGCAGCTCTTCGCTTGTCCCTTGCTGCCGCCGCGTTTGTGTTTAGACGTCTTGGGACATTTTCCAGTGAGCAGCACTTGCTTAACCCTACTTCCAGTATACTGTTTCGTACTGTTTTTTCCTACTTGCTTAAACCTACTCCTACGCAAGTGCTGCTTACTGGAAAGTGTCCCAAGTGCTGCCGCCACGGAAGTGTTTAAACATCTCGAAAATTTTGGGGCATCTTAAACGTTATGGCATCCACAACTTTACTTTCTTCCCCTGCAGCTGTTGATCTCTCCCATCCCTCCTGCCTTCTGTGTTACACCTCTCCTCCTAACTTCTGTCCTCTCTGCTTTCTCTCTCTCTGCTTTCTCTCTCTCGTCAACCCCCCTGCAACCCTCTCCCTGCCATGCATTGATCTGTCTGCTCAACCCATTCCTGTGCCAATCCCTTTGAGGAACCCTCTTTCGTCCCTTCCTGGCCAATTTACCTGCCACCTCCTCTCTGCCCTGCCACCTCCACCCTGCCTTGTTGATCTATAGGTTTTTGCGTCCTCTCCCTGACTTTTGAGTCGACTCAAAAGTCAACTCTCCCTGTGCCAATCCTTGCACGAGCCAACATCGAGGACCCCAGTCAGCCTCTGTAGCCTCCTCCCTGCCCTGCCACCTTCCGCCCGCCCAACCACCTGTAACCTGCCTTGTTGATCTTTCTGTGTTGACCTCCTCTCTCTGTGCTAATCCTTGCAGGAGCCAACATGAAGGACCAAAAGTCAACCTGCTCTGCCACCTCCTCCCTGCCGTGCCACCTTTAACCTGCTTTGTTGATCTTACTGTGCTGGCCCCTCTCGTGATGTCTAAGCATGCAGGAGTCAACATCGAGGACCCAAAGCAGCCTCTCGCCGCCTCATGCGGCACGGGAGTCACTGCATGTGTGCTAGCTCTGGTACGTGTGCTGCACCACAGTGCACCGCAGTGCACCGCAGCGCACTGCAGTGCACCGCAGTGCATTACGATCTATCTATGCGAATTGAATCCTCTGACCATCACAGCACCGACACACTCATGCGCTGGAATACATCTCCTCACCCCTCCGTCTCCGCACCACTCACTCTGCCCTTCCCCTCACTTGTCCCTTTGCTCCCTTACTCTGGCCTCTGGCTCGCCTGGGTCGGTGGGATGTGAGGTGTATGTATGATGGCTCCTGGACTGAGTGGGGTAGCCTGCAGGACACCCCAGTTGTCAAGTGGAATAGCGGCGAGTTTCTACCTCTGCACGCTCTCTTCCTCACACTCTACTTTTTGCATCCTTCTCTTTCCTCTGCTCTCCCTGCTGCAGGCTCTGGCTTGCCTGGGGCGGTGGGACGTGCCGGTGTATGATGGCTCGCGGACAGAGAGGGGTAGTGCTCCTCCTGTACATCGTTTCCCTCACACTCTGCTATTCTCTTCCTTATACCCCCTTCTGCAACTCGTGTTCCTCCGTCTCTGCCCTCCCTCGCTGCAGGCTCTGGCTCAACTGGGTCGGTGGGACGTGCCCGTGTATGACGGCTCGTGGACAGAGTGGGGTAGCCTGCAGGACACGCCAGTTGTCAAGGCAGAGTGACGGCAAATGCCATTCAAATTCCATTCCAATCCAAGGAGCATTGCAATGGCATGCGTGCGTGAAACCCCTCCCACGAAGCAGTCTGATGGATTAGAGCATCCAAGGGTCGTGGTCGGATCTGACTGAGGCACACAGGGTGTTTTTGAGAATTCTCCAAAACACCCTGCAGCATCAGGATCGTGTTCTGATCTGACTGAGGCACCTCACAAGTTGTTTTGAGGCGCCTCGAAAGATAGATTAGGGTATCCCTGTGTCGTGGAGCAGTGTCCTGATGCGCGGTACTCAGTGTGCGGGCATCTGATTGCATGTGCGTGCCTGTAGGTGGTTGTCTTGTTTTTTGTTTCAAGAACATTCATCTTCCTACGGTTATGGCATGTAGAGGCTGCTTTGATAGACTGGAAACGTTCTACCAGACTGCTGGTTCTCCGGCTGTAATGTACCTTATTGGCAAGGAATCATTGTTTAGTGTGTATTGATGTCCGGTATGCTTTTCAATTGATGTGATGTTCTTTCTCCCTGCCACAGTTCCCTTGCCCCTGCCCCGCCACCCAATTAGTGTCTGTCGCCATTTGTTAGATGGCATATGGGAAGTGTGTCTCTCCACAACCGACCTGAAATGTACCGTAATGCTGTGCATCACAGTGAAAGGCAGTGTAATGGTGTGCTTGACACTGCAATGCTGTCAACTCCATGCTTTGCCCACACAGTCACACAGGCACCACAGACACACACACTGACACCACACAGACACACAGACACAGACACAGACACAGACACAGACACAGACACAGACACAGACACAGGCACAGACACAGACACAGACACAGACACAAGCACAGACACAGACACAGACACAGACACAGACACAGACACAGACACAGACACAGACACAGACACAGACACAGACACAGGCACAGACACAGACAGAGACAGAGACAGAGACAGAGAGAGAGACAGACACACACACACACACACACACACGCACACATACACACACACACACACACACACACACACACACACACACAGTGGAATGGAGTGTGTCACTCAATCTGGAAGATTTGGAATGGTGACGTGGCAGTAGATTGCGTACCTACCCATGCGGTAGTTCCAACCAGGTGAGCTCAGCCCAGCAGGGAAACGGATACCAGCAGCAGCATTGCTGAGCTTGGCTTCGACCAATAAGTGCGGTTGCTGCTGATGTTGGAATTTGTAACATCCATTTCAAGCACGGTATTACACAAGCAAATGCTACCTTGCAGAAGAAAAGAAGCATGATACAAGCACACAGGACGACAAAAGAGCCTTCCTATGTGTTGGGAAAATAAACGCATGACTTAGTGCGTTTCTGTAGTATCGAACCTCACCCGATACTGAAGCACAACAAAAGGAGTACGAAGTCGAAAAGGCGCGCACCACATCAAACCGCAACTGGATGTTGCGAGCTGTAACCGCCTGGAGGTTACGTAACAGCAAGCGACGCTTCAGTGAACAGTAACCACCTCGATAGTCGAAGCGTTACGCGTCTCGATAAACATAACCGCTTCTTGTAATCTATCCTTTCTATATATTCCTGTATGCCCTTTGCTTTAATCAATTACTTGTTCTCACATACCAGCACAAGTACATTCACTCAAGACTTCCGCTGTGCTACTCTAGCACCTACTAGCCTATTCTCTGCAAAGATCCTAAGGCTAAAATTCTCAGCCCAACATGGTATGAGAGCAGTCAGAGAACAAAGGCTCTCGTCACTAAGCCTCTTCCAGGCTACCAATCTGCAAACGACCAAGAAGTTCAACCTTCACTCAAGAAATGCAAGACATGGCAAGTGGCAAAGAAAGAAGATCATCTACGGGATCTACTCTACCCCCGGTCTCCGAGTTGCAGACCGAAGGAGGAACAACGCCCGGATTAACGCCGGAAGCGACGGAACGCTCTACTCAAGCACCAGTAGCGCCGCCAACAATCTTCAACCCAAGCTTAATGGAGGAGTTCTTCAACTTCATGTCGCAGCAGCAGTCCTCACAACCTGCAAACAGCAACAGCGTAAACAACGGAGCGGCACCAATGAGTATTGACAACTCATCGTTCGGACGACATAATCAACAAATACCAAATTCGGTCTCACCTGGTTCCTTCACGTTCATGCCGCCCCGCCATCTAGCGACTCCTCTTCCCGCCATCAAACGAGACACCGAAGAAGTCCTGCAAGTACAAGCACAGTTCAACAACATCCTACGACTGCACACATCCACACCATTCAACGGGAAGGACTTCTACTCTTGGAGCTTCGAGTTTGAACTCCTGATGGAAGGCGCGAATCTTCTTGGCTTCTTCAACGGTACCTGGCCATATCCACACAACGGCGAAGACAAGGACAAAGAAAATTATACGTATCACTCCCTCATGGCTTACACCGTTCTTCTCCGAAACCTGTCGCCGAACGAACAACAAAGCATCCGCGCCTACCGGAACTACGCAAACTCCGCGGAACTCGCTTATCAACATCTGCGAAGTATTCATCAAGCATCCGACAGCGTTACGCAAAGCCGACTCATGGCACAACTGACAACAGTTCAAATGCAACCTGGAGAAAAGGCCATGCCTTACATCAGTCGCTGTCAAGGACTACGCGACAGACTCATTCGCTGCGGAGGAAACTTATCTGAAGAAGCTTTCGGAACCGTGCACCCACCGGACCAGACACATGGCTCCTCGACAGTTGTTGCGGTCATCACATGTGCTCTTCATCACGATTTCTTCAGCGCGAACGACGTCTTCCGCGAGACGTCATCATCACCATCGCCAACAACGAAAACCTGCGCACCAACAAACAAGGAGTCGTGGAGCTTCAGTCAAACGAAACAAACGTTATTCTTCAATTAAACAAAGTACTCGTCGTCGACAACCTCGGCTTTAACTTACTGAGCGTCAGCCAACTCATGTCGAAAGGCGTTCACCTGGAGTGCGACTCCGACGCCCTGGAAATCCGTCTTTACCACGGAAAAGGGGGGGTCTTCATCGGCCGTGCAATCCAACAAGATGGCGTGTTCGTCCTCGACTTCGTCCCCGACAAAGGCACCGCAGACAGCGACGGCATAGTCGCTCTCGCACCTTGGACGCATCCGCCAGACCTCGACCCGAACTTCAGTCCTGAAGGCTTCTGGTACTCTCGTACCATTCCCGAAGCTGAACGCACCAACGCGCTTGCCGTCCTGCAAACACAAGCCACAACACCTGAGTCAGCACCCGTCATCGAAACAACAACTGCACCCGTCACAACACCAACAACCACCAAACCTGCAATTGAAGAACCAGCCGTCGTCGCGGAACAACCTTCCGAAACTCCACAGCTCGGTCCCTCCGTCGCACCTCCACCTCTCATCATCGACACGCCACCGACAGCCGCCCAACAGTTAACGCCAGCACCACGCGCCGTTCATCGAAGTGCAGCAACACACGCCGCCTTCTTCACTAACGCAGACTTCTATCGACGCTCCGTAGGTCACAGCGCCTCCGAAGACATCTGGCATCAACATCTTGGACATCCTGGAAACACAACACTCTACAATACAATACGAGCCGGAGTGTTAGACAAGAACGCCCTACTTCTTCCCAACGGAAGTGAACTCGAACGACCACGCGGCACCTGCTTCATCTGCCCGGAAGCAGATCTGCCTCACCAACTGTTCCCGTCACACCACAATCCGAGCGCCCCCGCTTATCAACCACTCGAGAAAGTCTACAGCGACATACTATACATACCTCGAACTGAAGGACGTGAAGATCTGAACTACGTCATCACCTTCATCGACGCCGCAACGCGATATGTCTGGCACGTCAACTTACCGTCACGAGACATGGCTCTAGAAGCCTTCACAGCCTGGCTACCTGTCGCTGAAAGAGAGTCAGGAGCGAAACTGAAGAGTTTTCAATCAGATGGCGCAAAGGAGTACCAGTCAAACAGCTTCACACAGTTCTTGGCAGAAAGAGGCATCAAACGCCTCATCTCTCTTCCTTACGCTCACCAACAGCAGGGTGTGGCAGAAAGGATGAACAGGACCCTGCAGACAACCATGCGAAAGCTGCTACGTGGAACTCGACTGCCCAACTCAGAATGGCCAACAGCGATGGACCACGCTGTCCTCCTGCACAACTTGTTGTCCTCGTCTTCACTGCCCAACAACGCATCTCCGCACCTGTTGTGGACTGGGAAGCTGGGCAACACAAAAATGTTACGAGTTTTTGGGTGTATGGTACAGTACCGCCCACACACTGCACGCGCAGGGAGATTCTCGCAACGTGCACAGTGGGGTCTACACCTCGGGCTGGCAAAACATTACGAAGCATGGCGAATCTTCGACGTCCACACAAAGGAAACAGTAGCAGCACGTGACGTTATCTTCTACGAGCGACTCATCCTCAACCATTACCTGGACAACATCGCACGCCACGTCGACCCCACCGGCGGATTTTCTGGTTCCCGAGCCTTCGCTTCACCCTCCGATGCTGCTGACTGGGAAGAAGAGAACGTCGACGGCGCCTCCGAAGCTGCTGGACCCCTTCCTTACTGCTCCGTCCCAATCCCCATGGACGAGGAAAACCCTCGCGACAGTAACAATGCCGACGCCTACTACCATTTCGCCGACAATGGTTACGTAACACCCCAACCCGTCAACACCGACATCTCTAAACGATACGGCCCCGGATTCGCACCTGATCCTGAAGCGGGAGACGAAGCAGTCTATCCCGAGGACCCCTTGTTGAATCGTCACACCCCCAGCGGACTCCAAGTCCTGGGACTCGTCGCTGCAGTGCACGGGCCTTCGTCGCCACCTGAAGAGCCTCGCTCTGTCAAGCAGGCTCTAGGGGGGGAACACAAAGAAAAATGGCGCGAAGCCATGGAAAAGGAGTTAAAAGCGCTCTCATACCGCAACACCTGGAAGATCGTCCCTGCATCACTCGCACAAGACAAACCCATTCTCTCCGGAAAATGGGTATTCCGGATCAAAACCAACTCCGACGGAACAATCGAACGGTTTAAAGCTCGATGGGTCGTCCGCGGATTCGACCAAGAGTATGGTCGCGATTTCACTGAAACCTTCGCACCAGTCAGTCGACATACTTCCCTGCGCATACTCCTCGCCATCGCCGCCTCACGCCGCCGCCCACTCCGACAAATCGATGTCGCCAACGCCTTTCTATACGCCCCAGTCGACGCTGAAATCTTCGTCGAACAGCCCCACGGGTTCGTCGACGACCCTTCCCTCGTCTGCCAACTACTTAAATCACTAAACGGAATTAAGCAGGCACCGCGACTCTGGCAGCAGTACCTGCACGCACGACTCAAACGCATCGGATTCAACCAATTGCCCCATGACCAGGGCATGTATCGTCTCACTCGCGACAACGACTACGTTCTGCTAATCGTCTACGTCGACGATTTGCTTTACATCGGGTCAACTACCACCATCGTCACCTGGTTCGAAAAGGAGCTTCAGACAGATCTCTCCCTCACAGTCTCACCCAACGTCACGCAGTATCTAGGGCTCAACATCCTCGATGAAGACAACACTATTCGTCTCAGCGCCTCAAAATACGCAAGCACTATCGCCGAACGCTTCTACATCACACCGACGCACGTCGCAACACCCTACAGTCACCTATCGCTCGATCCAACCGAAGAAACCAGCCCACTGCCGCCTGCTGAAATCCAGGAATATCAACAGAAACTGGGCTGCCTACTCTTTGCCGCCGTTACGTGCCGACCGGACTTATCCTACAGCGCCAGTCAACTAGCGACCTACCTCAAGCGCCCAGAACAACGTCACCTCAAGGAACTCAACCGCGCCCTTCTCTACTTCATCTCGACGCCAACGGTTGGCTTAACATATTACAAGAACACGACGACCGACCTAAAACTACTCGGCTACGTCGACGCTGATCATGCTGCTGATCGTGTCGATCGTCGCTCTCGCACCGGCTACATCTACCGTCTTGAGCCCGTCGGAACTATCTCCTGGCAATCAAGTAAGCAGGAACTCGTCGCACTATCATCTGCTGAAGCAGAGTATATTGCTCTCTGCACTGCTACCAAGGAGGGCCTGTACCTGCGCGAACTGCTGGAAGAAGCGAAAATTGCGAAAGTACACAGCTTCTCGCTTTTTTGCGACAACCAGTCCGCGATACGGATCGCGAACAAGAATGGCTTCGCCAACAGAACCAAGCATATCGCACTGCGATACTTCTTCGTGAAAGACGAAATTGAGAAAGGAAAACTCCAGCTGGATTACTGCCCGACCACCGAGATGGCAGCAGATTATCTCACCAAGAAGAAGCTACCAAAGGGGAAATTCGAGTACTGCATGCTGCTCACCGGATTGGACCACGTCACCAAAGCTGACCACGTCGACACTCAAGAAACGAAGGGGAGTGTTGGGAAAATAAACGCATGACTTAGTGCGTTTCTGTAGTATCGAACCTCACCCGATACTGAAGCACAACAAAAGGAGTACGAAGTCGAAAAGGCGCGTACCACATCAAACCGCAACTGGAGGTTGCGAGCTGTAACCGCCTGGAGGTTACGTAACAGCAAGCGACGCTTCAGTGAACAGTAACCACCTCGATAGTCAAAGCGTTACGCGTCTCGATAAACATAACCGCTTCTTGTAATCTATCCTTTCTATATATTCCTGTATGCCCTTTGCTTTAATCAATTACTTGTTCTCACATACCAGCACAAGTACATTCACTCAAGACTTCCACTGTGCTACTCTAGCACCTACTAGCCTATTCTCTGCAAAGATCCTAAGGCTGAAATTCTCAGCCCAACACTACGTGAACATACCTAGCTACCTACCACTCTCCGTAACAAATACCACAACTGCATTCCTCTCAACACAACAGACCAGGCCAACTTATGGTGGATGGCAAACACAACAGACCAGGCCAACTTATGGTGGATGGCATGTGTCCACTGATTCCAAGTGGATTACTACCGGTACTGATCATGTGACAGGTTCAGGGCTTAGGCCCCTAACTGGAATTCAACCCCAGAGCCAGCTTCAGCCTGGCAACCAACTCCTCCTTCCTCCCTCTGATCGACAAACCCTTCTCCTTCAAACACGCTCTCAACCTTTCAACAGTCAGCCCATCCACATCCCGCTCGCTCGTCATCCCCTTAAGAGTCCGCCCCGCTTCCCGATCCTGCTCCATTCCGCCACCGCCGCCGCTGCTCCCCACGCCCGGGCCGCGTTTCGCCGGTCTCCCGCCGGATCTGGTCGCACCAATCGTGTCGTCCTGACCGGGATCACCTGTGGCAGGCCTCTTGCCTTTATCTTGGAGTCCTGATTGCCATGATCTGGTGTCGTGAGCCGCTACAGCAGCACCAGCAGCGCCAGTACCAGCAGCAGCAGAACCAGAAATACCAGCAGCACCGGTACCAGACGCAGAGGCACCAGAAGCACCGGAAGCTGTCTTCTTCCCCTTGTCTTGCGCCGCCTTTGCTGCTTCCGCGTCGCGCGTCTTCTTCATGGTGAGCGCGCGAAGCAGGATGTTCGTTGGATCGGTCGTGATGATCTGATCGGACGGCGGAGACGTGTCGTGGTCGCAGATGTACACCGGGATCGACGACGACAGCGTGCACGCCGCCGCGGAGAAATTGCCGCGAGACGGAAGGTTCGCGAGAAGGGACGACATGGCTGCCGACGAAACTCCTAGCCCTTAAAACCGGGCGGCAAAATTTGGGAGAAAAGACCCGGTAACAACTTCAGAAACGTCTGAGTGGTGGCGCTAAAGAGCAGGTTACAATTGCCCCACTCCAGCGACGTTTTCGCTTTTGGGAAACTTTAGAAACGCACCGAGGAGAACGCAGGCAGCGAGGGGAGGCAAAGCAGCGTCCCAACGCGAAACAATGAAGCCAGCAAGCTCTCAATACGCGAGCGCTGATCGCGGCGACAAGCGATAGAACAGCCCCGTCGAGGAGATAACGTGCACGTGCACGAGGGAAAACGGCGCAACCGCCTGCTGCGATCGCTGAGGCTCACCAAAATCGCTGACCGACAAGAAGTCGAAGCCAGATGTTCCACGACAGTCTTCTAAGGTGCAAGGTTCAGGTAATAAACTATGCTAGGGAGTGAACAGACACACAGCACAGCAGCCATGGCGAAAGCTGAGGTGATGTGGATGGCGTGAGAAGAAGCAGCAGGCCCAGCAGTCACCGAACCGAACCATAGCAGAAACCGCAGAACCCCATCCGATTTTCACTAGCACCCTCGATGCATGTTTCCTTCGCTTACCCCCGTTATTGCACGATCAGCGGTTAGCATAAAAGACGTGAAACCTTGCTCAGTACTTATGCTTAACAGACAGACACATAACTACACCATCTCATCTTTATCTTGTACTGCCTTGCCGATTCATTACACTACACGAGGCTGATTCAGCGTGCTGAATTTGTACATGGATAACAACTGTAATAGTCTGTTAACAATAATATGACAAAACTAGTGTCAGCAACATACTCTTTACTAACAGTCTTTTAAGGTAGGTTGCACAGGGCATACAGAGCCAAGCCATAGCTCCAACATGGCCATGGATACAGGCCAAGAATAGTGTGTGCCATCTTTTGACAAGTCCGGACGCGAGAGTGTCATGGGTATGGTTGAGATGAAAGGAACCTTCCATGAATTGATCAGGCTGCACACACATGCAAACAAGGAAACACTTAGTTGTTCACGAAAAGACAGTTCTAAGGATTTCACTAGGAAGTTGCCGAAGCACGGAATGCACGAGGCAGATTTCAGCAGAAACGTACAATATGAGCAACCGAAGAGTGCCCAGGTGCTAACCTGTGGTTAGCAGCGTCGAAGGCAGGAGTGGTTCATGGAAGGCAGCAGGTCAGGAGCAACAGCTGACTGCTGCACTGCCCACAGCCCCAACCACACCACTGCTGAGAATCCTAATAAATGTCTCAATAGGTAGAGAGATGTGCTAACCTGTGTGCGGCGGCGTCGAATGCCGAGAGGCGGGGGTGGTTCATGGAAGGCAGCAGGCCAGGAGCAACAGCTGACTGCTGCACCGCCCACGGCCCCAACCACACCACTGCCAAGCCAGGGCCCCCCATACCGCCATTCACAGCAAAGCGCACCGAAGCCACAAACTCCCGGTCTGCAGGGAGAGAACGACATAATATACCGCTCTTATAATATGTAACGAACCATGGCCACACACACGGATAAAGAAACTGGCGAATGGCTCGAGCAAAAAGCATCCAACCACCCAGATCTGTTTGTGGGCGTTAAGGCTCCAAAGAGCAAGAAAAAACACATTTGAAGAAAACCCACCAAGGGATTCTCGCAAAAACTAAAGAAATTACTTACCAAGTGCAGCGGCATATTCTTCTGGTGAATCAAACGCCGCCAGGTCATGCAGCCCGCTGGACGCCAGCACAAAATCAAACGGCGCGTGCTCATTGGCCAATGGGCCACGTCGCGTGTGGTTCACCATCCAATCCCTGTACAACGGCTCTGACGCGTTCGAGTGCGCCACAAACACCGCCACAATCTGGTCGGCATCTGCCGCCCGCTGCCGCTCCCTCTCTTGTTCCTCCTCCCGAATCCTGCTCGCTGTGCGGAGATCCCGAGGGTCCTCGTCTGTAGCTGACATGTCGAGCACATCCCGGCCTTCCAATGAATCATACTGCTCTGCTCCTCCTTGGCTTCTGTCTCCGCTCCGCCTCCTGCTGCTCCCGGTTGGCATTTCACTACCGATTGCAGCACGCTCATTCAGGTCCCGCCTGCGCTTCCTGTCGTTGAGGGAAGCTGAATCTGGTGCGGTCGCATTCAAATCCACTGGTATTCTGCTCGCAATTGCGGCACGGGATTGCACCATGGTGAAAAGAGGGGGTGGGGCGATGGGAGAGCAGGCAAGGCAGGGCTTAAAGGTTTAGCTGCTACAGAGACACCGACCTGGTCCTGCTGAAGCATCCGCTGGGGTGATGGTGATAACGGAGTGCTTCAATCGAGGCACCAAGATCTCACGATGGTGACAACAGGGGGTGGGGAGATGGGAGAGAAGGTAAGGCAGGGATTGAGAGGTCGAGCTGGCAGGTATGGAGATGGACCTGGTAAGGCAGGGGTTGAGAGGTTTGAGGGCAGGTAAGGCAGGGGTTGAGTGGTTTAGCTGCTACAGAGACATCGACCTGGTCACGCAGAAGCATCCAGTGGGAGTTTAGGCTTGAGGGCCGAGGCACCAGGAGCACAGGGTCGTTGTGGTAAGAAAGATGGGTGGGGTATCTTTGCCAATGCTGAAAAAAGTAATCCAGAATGACAGTAACCAGCCTAATACAGGTACGAGCGCAGTACGCCACCGACCTTGCTACAGCAAACCCGTTGCCCTCTGCGCCATAGTAGGTGGTGGAAACAGCGGGGCCAAGGCGGCTGTGGTGCACAAGACAGATGATAGGGAAAAGATTACGTGTTGCAACCTTCTCCCACCACCCTACCTTGCAACAGCAAATCCGTTGCCCTCTGCACCATAGTAGGTGGCGGTGACAGTGGGGGCGAAGTAGGTGTGGTGCACTGCCACGTGCTGCCCTTCTGACCCCGGCACCCACGGCACAGGGCCCTGCATGTGCGCCTGGTGGCATTCAGAGTTTGGAGAGAGAAAAAAGGGACATAGAAATTATAACCCATGAGTCCCCTTCGAGTTGGTTGGTGGCAACAATAGTAAGGGCGAAGTAGGTGTGGTGCACTGCCACGTGCTGCCCCTCTGACCCCGGTACCCAGCACAGGGCCGTGCATGTGCGCCTGATGGGGTTCATAGTGCAGAGGGCATGGAAGGAGAGCAGGTTTGAAGCAGGGCAGCTGGTAAGAGACAATTTCCTGTCCTCTGCCTCTTCCCATCCCCACAACCCAACACGCCCTTCCCTCCAATCCAACGCCGCGCTCACCTTTCCTCCACCCAGCACGCCCTTTCCAACTCAACACTCACGCACCTTATCACATCTGAGGCGAACAAGGGAGAAGTGGCGGTCGCCCAGGCCTTGGAGGAGGAGGAGGAGGAGAGGAGGGCGAGCAGGCAACGGACGGCTTTTTTATTCCTTGGCAATAACCCTCCACTCGAACCCAGAGCTAACGCACCTTGTCACATCTGAGGCGAACAAGGGAAGAGCGGCGGTCGCCCAGGCCTTGCAGCAGGCGGCATCGGGAAGAGGAGGAGAGGAAGGAGAGCAGGTGCGAGAAGAGCACCCACTGCTGGCTGTCCCCCACCACCAGCAGTCGCTTTCCCTTCAGGCATGTGCGTGCAGCACTGGTGGAGGGGGGGCAAACGGGGTAAGGGTTATGGTGGGGTAGAGCTATTGAGAGATGGATCACAGTGGACGTGTGAGAAAAGAACACCCACTGCAGGCTGTCACGCACTGCCAGAAACCTCTTGCCCTGATGGGTATTGGGGAAAGAGAGGGGTAGGACTATAATGAGTTGTTTTGGAGAGGGCGTGTGCGATACGCCCACCACTAGCAGACACATGCCACTGCTACCTGGCAGTGATTCGTCTGGTAAATGCCTGCGTAGAAGAATGAATGCATTTTTAGTTGACTAAAGAAATCGACTCAAAATTTGAGTCGAATAAACAATGCAGACACGTGCCGCTGCTACGTGGGAGTCATTCGTTGAGTGATGAATCACCACCACAAGCACACACTTAGTGACAAACAAAATTTGGCCAGATGCAAGGGACAGTCTTCAGACACGTCCAGAAACTATGCGAGGAAATATGGTAACCAAGCAAAAATAGTTGCCCCGAGTGAGGATCGAACTCACGACCTTAGGATGGCTCCGCCCAGCAGAGTGGGAGTGGGATTGCTATGAGACCTACGCGCTACCGACTGCGCCATCGAGGCATATGATGTTGACCATTTTTAACGACCAGTATTCAATCTTTGCGAAAAACTATTTTGAGCTTCACGCAAGCAATCTTACCCTGGGGTGATTCGTTGAACATTGCAGGCGAAGGGGAACCATTGCTGGTCAATCCACCGCCCTGCGTTCCGCGATTCCTCCAGCACCTGTGCCGTGCAGCCTGGTAGCGCAGCCTGCAGGCGCCCATACTCCTTCTTGTACGCCTCCGGGTCTGACGGCTGCACACACACACAGCGGAAAAGCAAGTGTGCTTTAAGTTGATTCCTCCAGCACCTGTGCCGTGCAGGCTGGCAGTGCCCTGCAGGCGAGCGTACTCCTTCTTGTACGCCTCTGGGTCCGACGGCTGCATACACACACAGCGGAAAAGACTAATGTTCTTGGAATCGATTCTTCCAGCACCTGCGCGCTGAAAGCTGGCAGGTGACGCATGCAGGCGAGCGTAATCGTGTTTATAAATCTTTTGAGTCAACTCAAAACCACCCCCTACCTGCGCAGACACGTTGTATTGGTTGACTAGCTGGAACTTGAGGTGTCTCAGGGCCTTTTCCTCGTCCCTGCTGCCCGTCAGCGAGGCGGCATGCACGCCCGTCAGGTACACGGAGAGCACGTACTCGCCTGGCTCCAGCAGACGGTAGCATGACTGGTGATGGGGAAGGGAATCGGGAGGGAGGGACGACGGGTTAAGTGAGGAGGCATGGACGCCCGTCAGGTACACGGACACCACGTACTCGCCTGGATCTAGTAGACGATAGCACGACTGGTGGTACGGGAGGGAGGGAGGATGTGCACGAATTCAGGGTCCAAACGGGCTGTAGGTGAGACTGTATGTCAAACAGTGCATGTCTATTTGAATGCCAGACTGCGTGCGAGCGGGCTGCATGATGGATACGTCAGATCAGAGTGTTCGTCACTCCACATGCGGAACTACAATATGCCATGACAGGTCCCAAAACAAGGGGCTGACTATTCATTCGACGTAAAAGCCATGGCTGTCACACGACACGCGAGAGACTACAGCATACCATGACCGGTCCCAAATCCCGCCAACACACACGCACCACGTGGTACCCCTCGTAGGCAGCGTGCGTGACAGGCGCACTAAGGCGGATTCGGCCGTCTGCGGAGTGAAGGAGCACCTCCCACGTGCTCGTCGGCGGCGAGCAACCCTTGTCCAGCCGACGGCCCTCTGAATCCTGCAGTCCAGGAAGATAGAAGGTGAGCTGGTCTTATCTGGGTCAAAAGGCGAGCGATTTCGTTAATACAAGAAGAGAGAAAATCAGAAGGAGGCGGTGGAGAGAGGATAGTTTGAAACGTGCGAGCGAATATGTTTCGAAGCTGGTCACGCGTCTTGACGTGAGAATGCTCACGTCGGATTTACCTGACGTGACAATAGCGAAATGAAAGAGACATTTGGTTCCAATAGGTCAGCCAATAAAGAGATGCTATAGTGCGTGATCACTAGTAATCGCATATAAGAAAGTGTCATGATAATAGAGACGCTGGCTGAGTACCAGCTCAGGAACAGACTGATGCTGAAAAAATAACGGATGGAATCAAATGACGTCCAGCCTTCATGTAAGGAACATGATGATTAATACACTTACGAACATTTGTGACCTGAATCAAACAAGCAGTAGCAAGCATTAAAGTGAAGTAGTGTACCTCTGCAGTGATGTTGAAGCAGATTTCCTGGTTTAGTTTCACGGATGGCTTGACGCCAGCACCGAACACCTTAACATGATCTAGTCGGCCATGACTCGATCCTTTTTCGTAGCCAGTGAAGCACTCCGGAACCGGATGCGATCTGCTACCTACATTTTCGGTGGATAAACTAACAGGCGAGAAGGTGAGCACTAAGAACACTAATGTTATGGCAAAGAGAGACGGAATCGTTTTTAACTGATGTCGTGAGAGTGACTGATGTGAGTGATACTGGTACGAAGACATGATAGCAAACGGTTTCGATCGGTTCCTGACCAGAGCGGCTTTCCAGCTTAGGTTCCAAGAGCCTCGGTTGTGGCATAAGCAGCTCTTCAAGCTTCTATTGGTCAACGTTTTACGAAACATTTACTGTTAGCTCACCTCACTAAGTCATGACAAGCAGCTATGCACATTATTAAAAAAAGTTGATGAAAGAACGCGGTCCTATTGTCTAAGAAAAGGCGAGGTGGTCTGGTGCTGAAACGGCGTCAGAACCGAAGATATGCAGGCTCCTAACACATCAATAAGTCGAGACGGGAAACAGACGATCAGAGAACCAGACGAAGGGTCATCATGGACAATAAAGCATCACCGTAATGTTCCCTGAACATCATACAATAGGTATCAGGCAAGTAAGCGACAACTTCAAGAGAAAACTAGCGTGCTGTGGTATGGTTTAGTACGGTATGGAAGCATGGGAAGGAGGGCATCTTGAATGGAGTGCCAGATTAGACAAACGCGGCGCGAGCTGGTTATGAGCGTCAGAAACACTGCGATGACGGCGATGGACAGAAGACGTCTTGCTGGATGCAGCACAAGCAGCAGGATTCAGGTCAGAGGGATAGACGCAGAGCAGAGTCAGGCAGTCAGGTTCGCAGAAATGGAAACATGCGGTCCGACTGTTGCAAATCGCGCGTGAAAAGGTACAAGCGTCTCTGACAACGTCAAGTCGCGTCAGAGCAATAAACTACACCTCATGTTTAGCTCAAAAGAAAATAACACGAACTGAAACACAAACAAGTGCATGCAGCATGCACAAAAACACACGTTCGTACACCTATGCACACGGCTAACTTACGAAGAGGAGCACCACACTAACTGTACATCTCCACACCACACTGCCTCTAGTGCTACTGCTCCTACATCTGGTGCTGCTAGTGGAGATGCTGTGCTGCTTCGGCACTGCTGCTGTTTCTGCTGTTAGTGGTTCTACAGTTACGGGGCACTCAATAGCAGCTCAACACCATGCCACCCGCAAGGTAAAGCGCCAGCCAATCGCCAGTGCTATCGTGGGAGATGCCCCAAAAAACGCCATGCGGTATGGATGAGGTAGCCTGGAAACTTGACACGTTGAGAGGCCCCATCGTGTGTGTGACGAGCCGAGCAAGGTATTCTCCATGGTTGGAATGATGCCCACCACCTTCAAAACGAGATTGACTTGACTCTTTAGCCAACCCAAAATGTGTGCACTGTGGAGAAAGAAGCTTGCGAATGCCCGCTCATCTAAAAAAAAGCTGGCCATATCTCACACAACCAGCCCATGCATTGCCATGTCCCATGTTACAAGTTACATGTCCCATGGCTTGTTTTGCATGCCCCATGGCTTGCGTTGCGAGTCACAAGGCTTGTGCCATGCAATGCCCTGTGCCTCCTGGCTTCTGTCTTGTCATGTCCCATGCCCCAACGCTTGTGTTATGCCATGTATCACGCCTCATGGGTCCTGTCCTGCCATGTCTCATGCCTCATGGGTCCTGTTCGCCCCCTGTTTCCCTGAGTTTTATGTCTTGCCGTGGCTCAGGAGGAAGAGGCGAGGAAGAGGAGCAGCTACAGGCTGCAAGTCCTTGGGGCGGATGGGTTTGGTGAGGGACGTGGTTCATGCCCCCAGCAAAGCACGCCTCTGCTCCCCCTCCTGTTCCCTCCCACACAATGCTCCCCCAAACCCTGCTTCCCCTCCTGCTGCTTCTCCTGCTCCTTCCCAAGCCTCAAGGTCTTAGCCGTGACTCACTCAGAGGCGAGGGAGAGCAGCAGCTGCTGCAGGTCTTTGGGGCGGATGGGCTTGGTGAGAAAATGGTTAATGCACGCAGCAAAGCACGCCTCCGCTCCCCCAACTGCCGCTCCCCCTCCTGCCACCCCCCACCTACTGCTCCCCCAACCCCCCTGCTGTTGCACCCCTGTGCTCTGCCCCCTCCAGCCAATTCTCATGTCTCTTTGGGAGAAGAGGCGAGGGAGAGCAGCAGCTGCTGCAGGTCTTTGGGGCGGATGGGCTTGGTGAGGAAGTGGTTCATTCCCGCAGCAAAGCACGCCTCTCTCTCAAAGTCAAACGCACTCGCTGTCAGCGCCGCTATCACCACCGGCGCCTGCTCCCCCTCCTGCTCCTGCTCCTGCTCCCCCAACCCTCCATCTTTGCCGTTCTCCACCACACTAAACCTACCACTGCCCCTTCCGCTATCCCGCCTGCTCAGCCCACCAGCATTCCCTGCCCTCTTAGTACTGCCACTCCTGCTCATACCACCAGCACCACCACTGCTCCTGTTGCTTCTGCCACTCCTACTCAACCCATCACCCGCAGCCACTGCAGCACCAGCAGCAGCAGCAGCTGCTGCTGCACCAGTAGCACCTGCACACCCGTCTTCCCTCCTCCGCCTCTCATTACTCTCACCATCACTACAATCACTCCGGCTATCCCCCTCACTCCGACAACTCCTCTCCGCCTCTGCTTTCCTAATCCTCCTAGTAGCCTCCAACCCATCCATTTCCGGCATATGGCAATCCATCAGAACCAGATCGTATCTACTCTTAAGACAAGCTTCCAAAGCTTGCAACCCGTTGTCCACGACGTCGAATCTGAGCCCTAGATTCTTGAGCATGCGGGTTACCACTAACTGGTTGACTTTGTTGTCTTCTGCTACAAGCACTCTCCACTGCCGCGCTACAGCCGGCAGCACCGGAGCCGACTCTTCAAACGAACGACGCCGCCCAGCGGCCAGGCTTCGACCGCTTGTGTTACCGGAGCTAGTTGCCGAACCTGCAGCTCCGGTAGGGGCTTTGGCACTTCTGTACGCACCAGAAGCGTTGGCCTGGGCGATTGTGGTGGGGGAAAATGGTCCGGCGCTTGCCGTACCTCGGCTGGACGTCCGGTCCGAACCTGACGAGACTCGGGCTCCTCCCTTAATTGCACCTTTTAACTTGTTCTTGCTTCTGCTCTTTTCCGAACCTGTGGCTGGTATGGTGAGGGCCAGACGGCGCGAACCTGCACCCATTGCTGAGTCGGCGGTTCGGCTGCGGACCGGGAGGCCTAAGGAGCCTCGGACAGTCAAGGCTCGGTAATCCAGGGAGGTTCGGGTGGTCCGCGAGCGACATAAGTTCTCCGGTTCATCATCTTCCGAATCTGAATCCCCATTCTCCTCCTCCCCCGCCTCCTCTTCCTCCTCCTCATGCCCCTCCTCATCTGTCTCCCCCACTCCCTCCTCCTCATCCTCACTGTCACACACACTATCATACACTCCCTCATCCTCCTCCCCGTCTCCCTCCTCACTCACTGACCCACACTGGCCCACGTCCTCACTCACTCCCGCACAGACGGTGAACTCAAAGGTGGATCCCTGCCCCTCCACACTGGAGACAGAGATCTCCCCCCCCATGAGGTTCACCAGAGCCTTGCAGATCGCCAAGCCCAGCCCCGTGCCGCCAAACCGCCTGCACGTGGTGTTGTCAGCCTGGGGAAGGGAATGGGGAATGGGGAATGGGGAAGGGAATGGGGAAGGGAATGGGGAAGGGAATGGGGAAGGGAATGGGGAAGGGAATGGGGAAGGGAATGGGGAAGGGAATGGGGAAGGGAATGGGGAAGGGAATGGGGAAGGGAATGGGGAAGGGAATGGGGAAGGGAATGGGGAAGGGAATGGGAAAGGGAATGGGGAAGGGAATGGGGAAGGGAATGGGGAAGGGAAGGAAGGAAGCGGAGCAGCAGTGCTATGACTCATCTCGCCCCCCATGAGGTTCACCAGAGCCTTGCAAATCGCCAGGCCCAGCCCCGTGCTGCCGAACCGCCGACAGGTCGTTGTCCGCCTGGGAAACAGGGTACGGGGGAGAGGGAGAGCACACACGATGAACTCAAACGTGGAGCCCTGCCCCTCAGTACTGGTCACAGAGATCTCCCCCCCCATGAGGTTCACCAGTGCCTTGCATATCGCCAGGCCCAGCCCTGTGCCGCCAAACCGCCGGCCTGGGAAATGGGGAAGGGAAGGAAGGAAGCGGAGCAGCAGTGCCATGACTCATCTCGCCCCCCATGAGGTTCACCAGCGCCTTGCATATCGCCAGCCCCAGCCCCGTGCCGCCAAACCGCCGACACGTGGTGTTGTCCGCCTGATGGGGAAGAGGGGAATGTAAGAGGGGAATGGGGAAGGGAAGCAGTGTCATGCCTCACCCATGAGGTTCACCAGCGCCTTGCATATCGCCAGCCCCAGCCCTGTGCCGCCGAACCTACAACACGTGGTGTTGTCCGCCTGGTAAACACGGGGAGGGACGACGAGTGGAGTGGAAAGGGGCAGGTGGTGGGGAGAGGAGTGTTGTTACGTCTCGTTCTTGCACTCACCGTTCATCTGGCGAGGGGGGAGGGGAAAACAATTGGTGCCTGTATCCAGCTCTCCCTGCCTCTCCCTGCCTCTCCCCCAGCTGACTTTTGAGACGTCTCAAAAGACGTCTCAAGAATCAGTGCCTGTATCCATCTCTCCCTGCCTCTCCCTGCCTCTCCCCCAGCTGCATCTACCGTGCATGCAAGCACGCTCGTTCCCTTCCCCCTCCCCCCCGAGTGCATGCCCCCTCACCTTACTCCTCCTTACATGTGTGAATGCCTGAAACAAGCTCCCTTGGACATCCTTGGAAATCCCAATACCAGTATCCGAAACTGAATACTTAGAACCTTACCCACACGCTCGCCCCGCTTCTCCTCCAGCTGCACCTATAGCACACGCGAGCACTCTCCTCCCTCCCTCTCCCCCCCTCCCGTAGTGACTTTTGAGTCGACTCAAAAGTCTTCTCCTCCAGCAGCACCTATAGCACACGCGAGCACTCTCCTCCCTCCCTCTTCCCCCCGCCCGTACCATACCTGTGTGAATGCCTGGAAGAGACTCCCCTGCACGTCCTTGGAGATTCCGATTCCCGTGTCTGACACTGAATACTCGAGCAGGACTTTATCCACGGGCTCCCCCCGCCTCTCCTCCAGCTGCATCTATAGCACATGCTTGCTTGCTCCTCCTCCCTTACCCCCCTTACCCAACCCCCTTAACCCCCCTGTATGTACCTGTGTGAACGCCTGGAAGAGACTCCCCTGCACGTCCTTGGAGATTCCGATTCCCGTGTCTGACACTGAATACTTGAGCAGGACTTTATCCACGGGCTCCCCCCGCCTCTCCTCCAGCTGCAGCAGCGGCGCTAGGGACGAAAACGACTCGCGCCGCCGCCCGCCGCCACTGCCGCCCGAGTCGGCGGGATCGACGGTGGAGATTCGCACGGTGACGCGGCCGCGGGCGGTGAACTTGATGGCGTTGGATACGAGGTTGAGCAGAACCTGCCTCACCCTCACTGCGTCGGCTAGGATTTTCAGCGGCACGTCGCGACTCACATGGGATTTGAGCTGCAGGGGGAGCGGGAGGGGGGTACAGAGGAGGTTGGATACGAGGTTGAGCAGAACCTGCCTCACCCTCACTGCGTCTGCCAGAATCTTCAAGGGCATGTCCCGACTCACGTGGGATTTGAGCTGGGATGGGAGGGGGAGGGAGGGTGGGAGGGAGGGAGAGGGGAGAGTGAGGGAGCAACAGACGATGCAGTTGAGGTGAATGGCGGCAACAGGGAGAGGGGTTGAGGTGAGTGGGTGGAGATGCGCACGGTGACGCGGCCGCGGGCGGTGAACTTGATGGCGTTGGATACGAGGTTGAGCAGAACCTGCCTCACCCTCACTGCGTCTGCTAGGATCTTTAGGGGCACGTCGCGACTCACGTGGGACTTGAGCTGTGACGGGGAGGCAGGGAGGGAAGGTGGCCGTAAGGGAAGGGGCGGAGAGAGGGAAGGGGGAGAGAGGGAAGGGGTGGAGAGAGGGAAGGGGTGGAGAGAGGGAAGGGGGGGAGAGAGGGAAGGGGGGGAGAGAGGGAAGGGGGGGAGAGAGGGAAGGGGTGGAGAGAGGGAAGGGGGGAGAGAGGGAAAGGGGAGAGAGAGGGAAAGGGGGGAGAGAGGGAAATGGGGGAGAGAGGGAACAAAACAAACAAAGCAGTTGAGGTGAATGGGGGGGGGTAACAGGGAGGTTGCTAAAACCTCACTGCGCCTGCTGGAACCCTCACCGCGCCTGCTAAAATCTATCTCGCATGGTACCTTCTCCTCTCTCGCTTCTCACTCCTCTCACCTGCAGCTTCTTATCCCGGGCAGACACCTCATAGAGCGCCAGAGAGTGCGCAAGGTGCTCCCTCACGTCAAACTCTGCAAACTCCAGCGCCATCCTCTCATTCTCAAAATTGCTCAGGTCCAATCTGACTCACCGACATGCCTTGAAACACCTGCACCTTCTCCCGTCCCTCTCACACTCTCACCGACATGCCTTGAAACGCCTGCACCTTCTCCCGTCCCTCTCACACTCTCACCTGCAGCTTCTTGTCTCTTGCAGAAACTTCATAGAGCGCCAGCGAGTGCGCAAGGTGCTCCCTCACGTCAAACTCTGCAAACTCCAGCGCCATCCGTTCATTCTCTATCTTGCTCAGGTCCAAAATGTCCGACAGGATATGCAGCAACCCCTGGCTCGACGACCGGATCGTGTTCACCAGCATCTGCTGCTCCTCCGACAAGGGCGTATCCAGTAACAGCTCCGCGACCCCGATCACGCCGTTCATCGGGGTCCGAATCTCGTGGCTCATATTCGCCAGGAACTGGGTCTTCGCTAAACTCGCCTTCTCCGCTTCGAGTTTTGCCCGCTGCAAGTCCGCCTCCTTGCGCTTCACCTCGGCTATGTCATGCCACACCATGAGGTAGACATTTTCACCGAAGAACTCGACCATGCGGCAGAGGACCTCGACCAGCACTTCTCCTCCTTCTTCGTCCCGAAAGACCCACTCGAACCGCCGCCACCTGTTCCCCGTGCCTCCCACCGAGTCTCCCGCCAGGCCACTGGTTGCGTCTGCTGCTGCCGAGCCTCCCGCCGAGCCTCCTGCCGAGACTCCTGCCGAACCACCCGCTGAGCCGGAGGCAGCAGCAGCGGTGGCGGCAGGGGTGGCAGGAAACGGTGACGACGAACCGGAGAGGCCCGGATAGAAGTTTCCCGAGCCTGAGGATCCCGAGCCTGAGGATCGGTTGGAGGGCTGGTTGGAGGCGGCGAGGTGGGCGAGAATGGCTTTAAGAGCGGAGGCGGGCTGCTTGGTGGTGGGCTGCTGGAGAGGCGAGAGGCGCCACGGCGTGCGACCGAGGAGGGACTCCTTGGTGGGGCACTTGAGGATTCTCACTGCCGCCTGGTTGCAGTCAAAGACACGACCATCCTTTGTCAGCAGCAATTTCGGGTCCTGCAGGGAGCAGGGGATAGGGGGAAGGGAAAAGGGAAGGGGAAGGGGAAGGTGAGAAGCCAAGGTGGGGGTTTCCGGGGCTAAGGGGCGATTAGAAGGCTGGTTGGATGAGGCAAGGTGAGAGGCGCCAGGGCGTGCGACCGAGAAGCGACTCCTTGGTGGGGCACTTGAGGATCTGCACTGCCGCCTGGTTGCAGTCAAACACCCGGCCATCCTTTGTCAGGAGTAGCTTGGGGTCCTGCCGGGGTTAAGCGAGGGGAAGGGGAAGGTGAATGGTAAGGGGAAGGGGAGAAGCCTGGGTGGGGGTGTTCTGAAGCGGAGGGGCGGTCAAAGGGGTGATAGGAGGCGGCCGGAGGCGCTAGCGCGTGCGGCCGGGAAGGGATTCCTTGGTGGGGCACTTGAGGATCCGCACTGCTGCTTGGTTGCAGTCAAAAATGCGCCCCGCCTTCGTTAGGAGTAGCTTGGGGTCCTGCCAGGGATTGAGGAAAGGGGATGGGAAGGAAAAGGGGGTTGGGGGAGGGGGAGATGAGGGGGTGCGGTCAGAGACGCGGCCGTCCTTTGTAACGAGTAGCTTGGGGTCCTGCCGGGAGTTAGAAGAGCAATCATCTTTTGAGACGTCTCAAAAGTTAGGAGAGCAATCACCTAGGCACACAACCAGCAGCCTCACCAAGGAGAGCAGCTACTGAGAGACGATCATTCACAGAGGGGAGCAGACTACACACCGGAGCAGCAGCTACTACCGACACCAGTAAACTCACGGAGGACATTTGAGGCGCCGAAAACAAAAAATCACACCAGAGCACCAGGTACCAACACCAGGAAACTCACGGAGTGACTTTTGAGTCGACTCAAAAGGCGCCTAAAAGAAAAATACGCCAGAGCACCAGGTAGGTACCAACACCAGGAAACTCACGGACGAGAGCTCAAAGAGCATCTTGAACTTGAACTGGTTCTTGCGGCTCTCTAAGGAGGAAAGCACTCACAGTGGAAGAGAGAAGTCAACTAGCAGCAACAGAGCACGAGTTACAGGCACCATAAGACTCACGGAGGAGAGCTCAAAGAGCATTTTGAACTTGAACTGGTTCTTGCAGCTCTCTAAGGAGGAAAGCACTCACAGTGGAAGAGAGAAGTCAACTAGCAGCAACAGAGCACGAGTTACAGGCACCATAAGACTCACGGAGGAGAGCTCAAAGAGCATTTTGAACTTGAACTGGTTCTTGCAGCTCTCTAAGGAGGAAAGCACTCACAGTGGAAGAGAGAAGTCAACTAGCAGCAACAGAGCACGAGTTACAGGCACCATAAGACTCACGGAGGAGAGCTCAAAGAGCATCTTGAACTTGAACTGGTTCTTGCAGCTCTCTAAGGAGGAAAGCACTCACAGTGGAAGAGAGAAGTCAACTAGCAGCAACAGAGCACGAGTTACAGGCACCATAAGACTCACGGAGGAGAGCTCAAAGAGCATTTTGAACTTGAACTGGTTCTTGCAGCTCTCTAAGGAGGAAAGCACTCACAGTGGAAGAGAGAAGTCAACTAGCAGCAACAGAGCACGAGTTACAGGCACCATAAGACTCACGGAGGAGAGCTCAAAGAGCATTTTGAACTTGAACTGGTTCTTGCGGCTCTCTGTGATGTCATTCACCAGCCACATGTCGCCAAATCCCAGCGAGTAGGATGTGGCATCCAGCAGCACCTTGGATCCGTCCTTGCGCTGCACAAGGGAGGGGTTGGTAGGTATGGGGTGGGTATGGGGTAAGAGAGGGAAAGAGGCTGGTACTGCAGCTCTCTGTGATGTCGTTCACGATGCCATGTTGGGGACACATGTCCCCAAAGCCCAGCGAGTAGGACGTGGCATCTAACAGCAACTTCGACCCGTCCTTGCGCTGCCGGGATGGGTGTGGGGGATCGAGGGGTGGGTGAATGGGTGGGGTGGGTGGGTGTGGGGAAGAGAGAGAGGGAGACAAGCTCTTTGTCCTACAAGTTCTAATTGATGAAAGGACCATTCGAGAGGGAGACAAGTTCTCTGTGCCTCTCTGCGATGTCACTGACAGAGCCACATGTCCCCTAAACCCAGTGAGTACGACGTGGCGTCCAGCAGCAACTTGGAGCCGTCCTTGCTCTGCAGGGATGGGTGTGTGCGACCATGTGGGGGAAGAGAGGAGGGACACAAGATGTTCTTTCGGCTATTTGTGATGTCCTAGCCCTGTCAAATCAAACCATGTACAGGTACCAAACCGAACTGGTTCGTTTACGAACCGGTTTTGCAAGGTGCCGGTTCGTGGTTCACTATATTAACTAACTAGCCGAATTGGTTTGGCTGAACCAACCCAGTTCGGTACCGAACCGAAGCGGTTCGTTTCTCCAGTGAACTTTCAATATGGTCCTACCAGCTGAAAACTAAGAAAGAACCACAGGAAACGCACGAATGTGAGACAATGACAGAGTTAAAGCTCGAAATGAGCTCCAACAATTTGTTTTTTGGATTATCTTTGCAGGACCAACGTCGGCTTGTCGCAGCTCGGGAATGTGTCGCAAAACGAACCGCACGAACCAGTTCGTTGACGAAACCGGAAGCCAAAAAAACCGCTTCGGTTCGGAAAATACGAAGCGAACTGCACCAAACCGAACCGCGGTTTGCTCATGCCTACTGTGATGTTGTTGACGAGCCATGCCCATGCCCCCCCTCCCTCCTTTCCTTCCCTCCCTCCCCCTACCCAAACCCAAGTACGCACCCAAATGGGCAGCACGGTGTTGAATACATTGTTCTGTGCAGCCCCCATCCTCCCTTCCCCCCAACTCAGCCTTGGCACGCACCTGGATGAGCGGAGACAGAGAGAGTGGGACGCATCCGAATTGGCAGCACGGTGTTGAACACTTTGTTCCTTGCAGCCCCCATCCAGGTGTTGAACACTTTGTTCCTTGCAGCCCCCATCCAGGTGTTGAACACTTTGTTCCTTGCAGCCCCCATCCAGGTGTTGAACACTTTGTTCCTTGCAGCCCCCATCCAGGTGTTGAACACTTTGTTCCTTGCAGCCCCCATCCAGGTGTTGAACACTTTGTTCCTTGCAGCCCCCATCCAGGTGTTGAACACTTTGTTCCTTGCAGCCCCCATCCAGGTGTTGAACACTTTGTTCCTTGCAGCCCCCATCCAGGTGTTGAACACTTTGTTCCTTGCAGCCCCCATCCAGGTGTTGAACACTTTGTTCCTTGCAGCCCCCATCCAGGTGTTGAACACTTTGTTCCTTGCAGCCCCCATCCAGGTGTTGAACACTTTGTTCCTTGCAGCCCCCATCCAGGTGTTGAACACTTTGTTCCTTGCAGCCCCCATCCTCCGTCCCTCATATTTCATCTGCGCTTTCGCCGCATTCTCCCTTCCATACAGCGCCCGGAACCACTTCTCCACGCTGTCAATGCCCCCTCGGGCGCACCCTAGCAGGTGAGCAGCAGGGGAGTTGATGAGCACCTCCTGTTGTTGCCCCTGCCCCCCGTTCCCCCCCTCCCTCCCTCCCTCCCCTCACTTCCTTTCCTCCCTTCCCCAACCCACGTAAATACGCACCCGAATGGGCAGCACAGTATTGAAAACGTTGTTCCGCGCAGCGCCCATCCTTCTCCCCTCGTACTTCCTCTGCGCTTTCGCCGCATTCTCCCGCCCATGCAGCGCCCGGAACCACTTCTCCACGCTGTCAATGTCCCCTCGGGCGCACCCCAGCAGGTGGGCGGCGGTGGAGTTGATAAGCACCTCCTGTCGACCGTCCAGCGCTCTGGTCATTAAGACAGCGCCCCCTGGTAGATTCTCCACCATCATCTTGTACTTCCACATGCTCTGCTCCTGTTGAGGGGTGAGAGGGGAGGAGAGAGAGCGATAGAGCAAGAGAGGGGGAGAGAGGGGGCGTGAGAAGGTGGGCAGCGGTGGAGTTGATGAGCACCTCCTGTCGGCCGTCCAGTGCTCTTGTCATCAGCACGGCGCCCCCCGGTAGATTCTCCACCATCATCTTGTATTTCCACATGCTCTGCTCCTGTTAAGACCAGGGGTGGGCAGGCGAGAGTGATAAGGGAAGGAGTGAGTGAGAGAGGCAAAGCGGTTCTCCACCATCATCTTGTATTTCCACATGCTCTGCTCCTGTTAAGACCAGGGGTGGGCAGGCGAGAGTGATAAGGGAAGGAGTGAGTGAGAGAGGCAAAGCGGTTCTCCACCATCATCTTGTATTTCCACATGCTCTGCTCCTGTTAAGACCAGGGGTGGGCAGGCGAGAGTGATAAGGGAAGGAGTGAGTGAGAGAGGCAAAGCGGTTCTCCACCATCATCTTGTATTTCCACATGCTCTGCTCCTGTGAAGAGGTAAGGGAGCAAGGGATAGACGGAGAAAGGGGGAGCGTGAGCAGGTGAGAGGGGCACCCCAGCAGGTGGGCGGCAGTAGAGTTGATGAGCACCTCCTGCCTTCTGTCCAGCGCCCTGGTCATCAAAACGGCTCCCCCGGTAGATTCTTCACCATCATCTTGTACTTCCACATGCTCTGCTCCTGATGGGGGTGGGTGGGAGAGAGAGAGAAGCGATGGAAAGGAGGGAACGTGATATCCTCCAGTAGACACAGCGCCTGCTCCTCCCATGCTACCTACTGGTACACCACATACTCGTTAAAAGCATTCTTGTTTGCACACCAGCCACCCACACACATACCAGTGCCTTCCTATCGCTGATATCCTCCAGAAGACTGGCACCTTCACCTCCCACACTACTGGTACACCGCATACCCATCATAAGCATTCTTGTTTGCACACCCAAGCCAACACACTTACCAGTGCCTTCCTGTCGCTGATATCCTCCAATAGACACAGCACCTGCACCTCCCACCCACACCACACCATTGGTACACCACATACCCGTTATAAGCATACTTGTTTGCACACCCCACGTACATACCAGTGTCTTCCTGTCGCTGATATCCTCCAGGAGACACAGCACCTGCACCTCCCTCGCTGTCGCCTCCTCCTCATCTCCCCCCTCCTCACCCCCCACCTCGCGCTCCTCTTTCCTTTCCTCTTTCCCCTCCTCCATCCCGTCCTCCTCTTCCTGTGCCTTACCCTCCTGCTCTTGTTTCTCGTCCTCCTCTCGCTCATCCTTCCCTTCCTCTCTCCATTCCACCTCCTCCTCCCCCTTTCCTGGTCTCTTAATAACCACACCCCTCCCATCACCTCTGTATCCATTCAAACCGAATTCCCCTTTCCCTTCGTTCACCAGCTCAGTTGCAGCCTCCACAGATGCAGCCTCCCCAACTCTGGCATTTTCAGCTGCAACGTCTCCACCTACAGCTCCTTCTGCTACAGCTCCTCCTGCTACAGCCCTTTCTGCTACAGCTCCTCCTGCTACAGCCCTTTCTGCTACAGCTCCTCCTGCTACAGCCCTTTCTGCTACAGCTCCTCCTGCTACAGCCCTTTCTGCTACAGCTCCTGCTACAGCCCTTTCTGCTACAGCTCCTCCTGCTACAGCCCTTTCTGCTACAGCTCCTCCTGCTACAGCCCTTTCTGCTACAGCTCCTCCTTCCCCCTTGCTTGCTCCTTGTCCTACGGAACAGCGAGCGGGGCTGCTATGAGAAGCATCACCCCTCCCATGTGTGGTTAGCGAGCCTGCAATGCTGCTGTAAGGAGCGCCACCACCCTCCGCACTCTGGCCCGATAAGCTTGCAACGGTGCTGTGAGTCGGGCAGCCATCAGCACTCGTTGTGACCAGTGGCGGGGATGTGCTGATGCACGGATGCGAAGGCACACCACCCTCCGCACTTGTGCTGTTGTGAAGTGATTCACCCTCTGAACGCATCATGACCGGCGAGCTTGCTCTGATGCGCTGGCATGTGAGTCGCACCCATCTGATCGCCCCGTCTGCTGCTCGCACTCGCACCTCCTGTTGCGTGCGCTGCACCATGCCCTTGTGTACACTGGTGTAGTCGGACTGTAAGAGAGGGGGGAGGAAAGAGAGGCAGAACAAGGGGAAGAGCAGTGAACGAGAGGAGGAGGGGGGCTTCAGAAGCCACACCTCCTGCCTCGCCCCATGTGCTGCTCGCACCCGCACCTCCTGCTGTGAGCTGCGCGCGCCTGCACCCTCCCCACCCCACTCAACCTTCCACTACCCCTCACCATCAAAACAGGGCACAAGGATTCATAAACGAAATCACACAGCATCAACCAGCCTTCCACCTGCGTTTTGAGTCGACTCAAAACACACCTTCCACCTGCGTTTTGAGTCGACTCAAAACACACCTTCCACCTGCACACCCACAACGCTCCCTCCCACCCTCCTCGTCCCCCCCACTCCACCGCGTGAGGGGGAAAGCACTCCACCCTAAACCCCTTTCATCACGAAAGCACCGCGTGAGGCTTTCCTCAGCACCCGCCGTTCCACCCACCTGCCACGTTGGCACTGCCATGCAACAAC